GTAGGGTCTAATCATCTAATTAGTTAATTCGTTAATTATTTAATGGTTTTAAATCAGTTCAGAGAACGCAACAGAGCGGAATCAGTCCCAAAGTACGTGTTTGATTATTTGCTCTTACTCATGCGCCACACCCTTTTAAAATACCCTGCCCTATTTAAAATACACGTCACAGTTTTTCTTACATCCGATTGATTTGTTAGTCCCATCTCAACCTGTACAAGTAAACAGGTTGTATATTATATTAATGAGATCTATGATGGTCTGAGTTTCCTATGATATGTTTAATTTCCACCGACCAACCATCCTGCTCGCTGAGAAGCTCTCCTAAGACAGTACTGAAATGAAGCTGACATCGAGAAGGTGTCCCTTCCGCCAGGAATTATAATACCCACGTGGATTAGATTCCGATAAGATGATAGGAATACCATTCCAATGTGGAGCTGATTCGAAACATTGCATCTATAATAATAATTGTGATGGCATTCCAAGCATGTGTAGTGAGAGTAGTGAAGTTATGATCAGTATTAGCACCTACTATTGCTACACCTTATCAGATGATAGTGTGTCTCAGCTGCACCCCAATCTTATCGCTCGTGATTAGTAGCGTGTTTGCTACTAAAGTGAGGTACAGTGCACACCCCTCCTCAGTCCTCCTCCTCCTCCTCCTCCTCCTCCTCCTCCTCCTCCTCCTCCTCCTCCTCCTCCTCCTCCTCCTCCTCCTCCTCCTCCTCCTCCTCCTCCTCCTCCTCCTCCTCCTCCTCCTCCTCCTCCTCCTCCTCCTCCTCCTCCTCCTCCTCCTCCTCCTCCTCCTCCTCCTCCCTCTTTCTCTTCCTCCTCCTCCCTCTTTCTCTTCCTCCTCCTCCTCCTCCTCCCTCTTCCTCCCCCTTCTTCTCCCCCTCCTCCCCTCTTCTCCTCCTCCTCCCTCTTCCTCCTCCTCCTCCTCCTCCTCCTCCTCCTCCTCCTCCTCCTCCTCCTCCTCCTCCTCTTCCTCCTCCTCCTCCTAAATAACTTTAGTGACCTGTTATATAATCACACAACAGAAGCAGCTTAGAGATTATGTGCGTGTTTGTGTAATTTGTGATTTTGCTCCATTCTTCGGTAACAATGTCTGTCATTGGGCGACTCTGTAAGCGCAGTGTTGCTATTCTCCCCCCTGCTCTAATCACAATGACAACTAGTTACAAACAGTGCCCGCTAGGCTACAACTACTAAATGGTGGTTAACAATCGCGGGGGAGGTGCCATTCGTTTTTCCTGTTGCTAACTTCACGTACCCTAATTCTACTCTTGTCTTGTTTTGCCATCATTGGAACAATCGTCCCGCGCTACGCGGGAGGCGGCCACGTTAGAAGCCTGCATGGTAACGACTTTTTGAGAGACAGTTTTGCAAGATAAACTGCATAACTCACAAAATGCTCATGCATAGCAGAGTAAGCACCTACGGACCAATGACTACACTATTGAAGTATTGAATGATACCCTACCTGATTGACCCTGGATTTAGTGTGAACCCTCCCCGGCGAGCCAATCTTACAATCTTGTGACGTGCAATAGGGTTTATTCTATTCTGCACAGTGCACATTAAAGACTAGGTGTTTAGTCAACCAAGCTGCTGTTGTTAAGAAAGACGGCTCGGAGACTCTGAGTCGGATGTACCAGCGTCGAAGAAGAGACCTCTACAAACGATAGGGTCCTCTCTGGTTGGCATGTTTCTGGGCCGGTATTTTTCCTTTCAACAACTCCATGTCATCTTCTGATTGGGTCTGGAAATTGCATCTGCATCTGCTGTCTGGAAGTTTCTTCTTGTTGGTCACATGACGGACACGTGGAGTTGTTTCCAGGGCCGAGTATTTCTAAAATGGTGAATGCCCAAGCAGTGCCTCTTTATTATCACCCGCTCCTTTTCGCTCCTATCCCCTATTTGTCCCTGGACCCTGACACCAGAGGCTCGGCTCTTTTCTTTGAGTTGGCTTATTGTTGCTTTGTCCACACTAAAGGGGACCTGGACTGGCTCAGTTCAGAGTGTAAGAAGAGTGTAACCTGTGCGTTTTATGAGGATCAGCATTACAATTAGATTGTTGGTGTTAAGGAGAGTTCAGTGAGGAGCCTTTAGAAGAGTATTTTGTAACGAGATAAGTAAGTAAGATGAGTATTCAATATTCATGTAAAGTATCTGACGTGATGCTTAGCCCCCTAATTGTTATTATGATTTAAATGGTTGTCATTTGCTTTAGACAGTAAGACCTCACCCACATTTCGCAATCCAGCATTGCATACGGAACTCGTTTTCAAATTGTTGTTGTATTGGTTCTTGTGTAATTAACTGAAATGGCACACTTTGGGATCATCGATTAGTAAATTTGCATTTTTTAGTTACTTCAGCTTTTTAAAGTCTTAAAAGTATTGATGTAAATTGTAAAGCTGACAGACAGTATTCTTTTTCGGTTATAACGAGTAAAGTTAGTGAATACCTTTTAACGAGGACCTGATAAACGAGGTAACCTCCCTTTAGTTAAATACCTTTTAAAAGTTCTAAACAAGGCATAGTAAAAACAACTGCCATGTCTAATCTTTCCCTAAAAAACTTAAGGTCAAAACTTCGCTGTAATCTCAGCCAATATCTCTTATCATAAGCCCCTTTGAACGAACTTGAACGAAGAATAAAATATAAATACGCTCCACTCAGTAACTCACGTCTTCTTAAAATAAACGCGTTGGCCAATTGTACAGAAGTATTAGCGTATTTATACTTATAAGTAAAAACAGGTACTTCTTCAGCAATCTTCACGCAGGTGGTACCTCATTTTATTGTATGAAAATGCATCTGCAAATGCTTACATTGAGACATTGTCCACGTGCAAATACCTGCAGTGAAATACAGTGCACGTGCCAAATTGACCCACTGCACTTCGTCCCATATAATTATCTGAGCGTGTGGGTGTGTGGGTGTGTGGGTGTGTGTGTGCTGTACACTGATCACTAGATTAGGAATTAGCTTTCAGCTCACGACCACACCATTATTGGTGATCATCAGCAGGTTTATATATATATTTAACAATCAGAACCCTAGACAGTAGACAGTGAGTGTAAGAGACGTGTGTCAGCACCGTGTAATGAAGCTTGTTGGTGGCCTCGCTTTTGTTGTGTGCCAACCTTATCAGTGGAGTATTGCGCTACTTCTCCACGTCCTATTCTCCTGCCGTTCATTTATAGTTATAATAGCTTGCTTCATATGAACCAGATTGTTGAGACCTATGGTCTACAAATCAAAAATGAATTAAACTTCGTCTCAGTCAGATAGAAATAAGTGGTAGACTGTCAATGTTTATTCTTCTTCAGAGCCGTTTCATTTTCGACGTTGGTTCAGCGTATTTTGGCATCGAATGCAATTATAATATTCTATTGTCCTAAATTATTCTAAGTTTCTAATTCAGCGGAATTAGTTAGTAATCTGCGTATTTAAGTCTGAGATCTGCTGCTGGGATTACAGTAGACATCTGACTCTTCCCATCTTCTATTGTGAAAATCCTTCCTCCCGTCTCTTTCAATCTTCATTACTGCTTCTTTTTTATCATCCTCATTTTTCGTAGAAGTGATCCGGGAGGATTAAACTTGGTTTTACTATCTCCAGTTTTTCACTTTTATTCAATAATTTAAGGAAGGTTTCTATATTGTTCAAGGTCTCCCGATGACCATGACCTTAGTGTGCAATGTGCACTGCCTTCCCAACAAGTAGCCCCATCTACCCTCCCCATTTCCTTACAGTAGCGCCCTTACAGTAGCCCCACAATAGCCCCCTTACAATAGCCCCCTTACAATAGCCCCCTTGCAGTAGCCCCCTTACAGTAGCCCCCTTACAGTATCCCCCTTACAGTAGCCCCCTTACAGTAGCCACCTTACAGTAGCCACCTTACAGTAGCCCCCTTACAGTAGCCCCTTACAGTAGCCCCCTTACAGTAGCCCCCTTACAGTAGCGCCCTTACAGTAGCCCCACAATAGCCCCCTTACAATAGCCCCCTTACAATTGCCCCCTTACAGTAGCGCCCTTACAGTAGCCCCACAATAGCCCCCTTACAGTAGCCCCCTTACAGTATCCCCCTTACAGTAGCCCCCTTACAGTAGCCCCCTTACAGTAGCCCCCTTACAGTAGCCACCTTACAGAAGCCCCCTTACAGTAGCCCCCTTACAGTAGCCCCCTTACAGTAACCCCCTTACAGTAGCCCCCTTACAGTAGCCCCTTACAGTAGCCCCTTCACAGTAGCCCCACCAAGAACGCACCCTCCATGCTTACTGTAACCAATAAACTACTCTTAATTACATAATAGTGCATTTTTTTAGCTTCCACCTCAGTAGTTTCGGGCCTGGCATTTCCTGCAGCCGTGGCTACAGAGTAGCTTTATTAACTTATGAATAGACAATGTGGTTTTGAAACTTCCAGCTTACTTATACTTTACTCTCAGCCCGCCTATTTATTAGTTTAATATTTTCTCCGTTGTGCACCGTTTTGTATGTGATATTGTAAATGTTCGGCCCGTTTTTGGGACGGTACGGATCCTCGGAAGATGACGATCATATCTCCAGTTACCGGGAATATAATGAGGTTATGAGTAAAGAGGGGATAGTCCAAGTTCTGGTCAGGAATGCTCAAAATCTCCAAAACGTAGAGCGTTTTGGTTACAGCGACCCTCATGTCTTACTAGATTTAGAAGGTAAGTTTAGGTGGAGGGATCATCACTACACTGATTGGACTGTAGGTCGTGTTAGCTCGCGGAATGTTCGAAATATTGTGGGCCATTATTTACAGTGCGGATTTGTTGGATGTGATACTGTGTTGATCATGTGACGTCTCTATTAAATTCTTAAACCTTCTCAACCTTCATATTTAAGAATTTGTACAATTTTTACATAACTCATGACGACCAAATATTTATTATGTATAATTATATATAATAAATAACTCTCAAATTAAGACCTAGTTTGCTGAACTACCATATCTTTCAGGAATCAAGAGAACAACACGTGTTATACACAGTGAGCTTAACCCGGAATGGAACGAGGTGAGAATTTCGATATTCAGCAAATTGATGTCGGTAATAATTGGTAATAATGGGTAATAATGGGTAATAGTGGGTAATAATGGGTAATATTGGGAAACAGTTGGTACTCTTTTTAGCAAGTTACGATAAACATTAAACAAACATAACTTCCAGAAAGTTTCGTATTTGAAATTGTCTCGCTATAATTTACACTTCTTTACTCCACAGACGTTTACATGGAAGAGGTACAGGCCTCTGACAGAAGAGAGTATGCTCTTGATAAAGGTCTATGATTATGAGAAGATCCTCAAAAACAAGTTAGTTCTCTCCTATCTCTTTTTTTACTTTGCTATTTATTGTAAAATTATCGGTGATATCTCGAAAAGGGCAATGTGAACCTGAGATTAAGGCAGTAAAAAACCTGATCAGCTAAATTCCGCATGAACCCTAATCATAACTGTAACCCTAATCATTATCATATTCCAATTCGATATATTCCGCTGATTGGGTGCTTGAAATTTAGAGATTGATTGAAAAACGTGGAATCTACGATATCATGAAAATACGGACGAGAATAATTTCCAATTTTATGCGGACAAAAGCTTAAATCGTCGAGTCATTGAAATTTGGATGAAGCGATTACTACTTCAATATGAGGGTAATTATCGTCACTGTCAATAAAGCATAATTGCTTTTTGTTACTGAACCTGTTCCTGATGATTATATATCAGAATTACGCTGCATAGTTACTGAGCAATTTCATGTGTAAAATAAGGATAAACTATTCGGATAAGAGTGGTTTTTGAACAGAATACCGAGGAGCAACATTGAGCAACATCAATTACTGAAAAATGTACCGCCTTTTTATGTTTGGTTTTCTCCTCCTCCTCGAATTGAAAATCGAAGAGATGAAAAGAAGGATTAAGAACATCATTGTAGATATGAGGAAAAGTAATAATTAGGGAATAATTACAAACATGTCAGGGAAGTTTGAAAGAACTACTATGAATTACCTTAATGATCGGTAATCAGTTAATCACTCTCACAAGTTTAGTATTCCAGGTCTCTACAAATTCGTCAGTAATATTCCTTGTTATGAACCAAAAACTAAATCATACATATATTACCGAGTATATTCTTTATCATCCACACACATTCCCTGGAAAAAACCTGGACTTATGTTGCAAGTCGTAAATGTTCGTTAACCCGATTTAAGAGTCAATAATTATCAGCGTTCAACTATTGTTCATGGTCATGAACCCGGCATTTTGGTGTAAGGACTGAGCATTTATCATAAGATTTATAATGGGTTAATATAGACAATGCCGTGCCCCGCCCATCACACCACTGAACTCGAACACTATAATAGTATGACCAGTATTGTGGCATACTTTGTACCCCACAATTGACTCCCAGGGTAGTACTCACACTCCCCTTATTGATTATTCACACCAACCTGGCTGTTACATCCTACTTTCTATAATGCCCTGTCTTCTCACCAAACTTCACGCCACTTGATCCCCGACCACGTGATATCATGCGACCACGTGATCACGTGACTGCACTGCAATATGACAGATAGTCTGTCACATTGCTACACATCAAGGATACAAATCAGCGACTTTGACAGGGCAGTTGTTACTCTGGTAAAGATCGCAGCACTGCCTACTCTTAGTATCTCTCTTGATATTAGCTTATTGGTTTCTCTCTTGTATATACCCCTGATTTCCGGGGGTATGTGTCGGTACTGTTCGAAGGTGGTATAGGCCAGGGGGAGTTTTATATACAGGGTGGTGTACTGTCATTGGTGCCCACCAGCCTTGTATCCAGGGTAGGATATAGAGAGAGCAGTGTTTCTAACCCTCTCCTACTCTACATACGTCACCTCTATAACTCCATAACCAGCTGAAAACCACATATCCTCCGTCTACAACCTCTCCTCCAATCTGAGATCATCTTCAGGCGCTCTTAATCCAGGGGACCACACAGTTCATATAATGGTCCTCTAGAATCCTTTGTGTGATTATTTACAATACAAGGTTTCTGGCCTGATGTAGCTTAAACTTTTAAGTAGAACTCCGTTTTGTATCGAACTTCATTCTCATTCGATTATAACTTCTGCTCTGCTGGGATATTTGTGCTTTTGTTCGAATCAGTTTAAATGGGCAATCTGTGCCATTCGTTCTCCGTCAATTAACTTGTACTAAGTTTGACCTCGTTTCTGTGATTGCCGTGGCATGTGGGCCTTTTGTGATTCCGATGGCCTGTTAGTTAAGATTTGATAAATCGGTCATAGATCAGACAAGGCTGGTCGGTCGGAAGTTGGTCGGAAGTTGGTCGGAGGTTGGTCGGAGGTTGGTCGGAGGTCGATCGGGCGCCGGTCGGGCGCCGGTCGAGCGCCGGTCGGAGGTCGGTCGGAGGTCGATCGGAGGTCGGTCGGAGGTCGGTCGGAGGTCAGTCGGAGGTCGATCGGAGGTCGGTCGGGCGACGGTCGGAGGTCGGTCGGGCGCCGGTCGGAGGTTGGTCGGAGGTCGGTCGGAGGTAGGTCGGGCGACCATTCTATGACACAATTTTGGACTCGAGGCTCCCCCTGGAAATGTGATCTCGGAAGGCAGGCCTCCCCTTTGCAACACGAGGTATCTTTATGAAAACGTGACTGTATCAGTCCGACCGACCCAGCGCAGTTGCAGCATGGCTATGGAATGACCGGAACACCAGCCTTGTCGCCAGACCAGCGCCCGGCTTACCACCCTACCGGCACCCGACCAACCTCTGACCGGCGCCCGACCGACCTCCGGAAAAAAAATTTGGACTTAGAAATTTTCGGTCCGACTCATTCTCGATACGTACCTTCTGTATCGAGAGCTCCCGCTTCCGAGCTCGTGTTGCAAAGGGGAGGCCTGCCTTCCGAGATCACATTACCAGGGGGAGCCTCGAGTCCAAAATTGTGTCATAGAATGGTCGCCCGACCTACCTCCGACCGACCTCCGACCGGCGCCCGACCGACCTCCGACCGACCTCCGACCGACCTCCGACCGGCGCCCGACCGACCTCCGACCGACCTCCGACCGGCGCTCGACCGACCTCCGACCGACCTCCGACCGGCGCTCGACCGGCGCCCGATCGACCTCCGACCGGCGTTCACCTACCGCCGACCGGCGCCTGACCGACCTCCGATCGACCTCCGACCGACCAGCCTTGTCTGATCTATGACCGATAAATCTCTGGTTTACTTGCTCCAGGTTCCCACTCAAGTAGCTTTTTGTTGTTGTTTTCTTCCGCGACCCCTGATGCGGGACAGAGATATATGCACGGGTGGGCGACAATTGACCCCCGACAAATGACCCCCGACAATTGACCCCCCCCCCCCCCCCCCCCCCCGACAATTGACCCCCCGACAAATGACTCCCGACAATTGACCCCCAGACAATTGTCGGGGGGTGGTCAATTGTCATACTAAGCCCTAGATTTCGGGACAATTGACTCCAGTGTAATTACATAGGGGTCAATTGTCGGGGGGACAATTGTCGGGGGTCAATTGTCGTACTAAGCCCTAGATTTCGCGACAATTTACCCAAGTATAATTACATAGGGGGTCAATTGTCGCGGTACCATATGGCACGGCTCTAACGGGACCACCTTTTTTGGCCGGGACTGGGACTGGGAAAAAATGCCGGGAAAAGGATTAAGCTGGGACCGGGACTAAAATCGGGACCAGCATTAAGACCGGGGCCTGAATTTTGGAGTATTAAAAAAATCCAGGGACCGGGATTAAGACCGGGACCTCTAGCTTTATAAACATCACGTTGTTCGATCCATTTTTGAAAACTTTGGAGAAAGCTTGAACCCGAAAGTCGCAGTCCATCACAAAAAAAATGTGGGAACAAAAGCTCAGTCCACCAAGGAGTTCCAGATTCCAAACTCGAGGGGAGTTTCTGACAAGAATAAGTGGCGGCAATGATGTTGTGCAGATCGGGAAAAGTGACACTGCTGATTCAGTAAAAGAAACTGACGATGATAAGGCATTATGGAATCAGCTACAGCCTGACAACAAAGACGGATCCAGATCACCAAATAATGCAGTGAGCGATGATGTGACTAAATATGAGGAAAAAAACTGGAGTACTAGAAAACGTTGAGATAAATCCTTTTCTGCGAAATACAATCTGAGGGCAGTTAACTATGAAACCGATCACTATAAGCTCCAGTCCCTGACAGATGATTTCCAGTCTAAACTCTAAACAGAGATTCCAGGAATTTAGATGATGACTCTGATGATGGGAGCATGACTCTGGGGATTGGAAAATGTTCACGGAATCGATCAAGCAAGTTTTAGTAGCATCGAACTTATCGAGGAGTCGGATGGCAAGGATAATGTCAAATTTGTTCGATAAGAATATACAAATGTTCTTGACGATTAAATAAAGAATTTGACATTGAAGTACGATTTTGGGAGAAAAATGTGTTTTTCAATGATTATTACGAAATTTTTGTTTCAAAAATTTAGCAAAAATCCCGGTTTGGTTCCAGTAGCCAAATGGTCAAATTTGGACCGGGAAGGGGATTCAAAAAATAGGCCCATTTTGACCGGGATGCGGGTCAAGCCTTTGATATCTGGCGTACATCTGACTTAGTCCCGATCTAGTCTGCTATAATATAATTATAACTAAATTCATATTTTACTAATAAGTATAAAGCAGTCTTTGTCTGTGATCTGCATCTTAGCCCAACCCCCCAAGTATCTGATCACCATAACTCAGTGTTATCTCTTCTAGGAGTTGCAAGGTTCTATACAGTACGTTTATATCATTACCTGCAAATGGGTTACCGGTCTACTACAGGATACGTTAAGAAATTGTACTCGTCTTTATCAGACCTTTACCATACACGTATTCTTTAATATTTATGAGCTCATCAGTGTAATTGGAATGGGGGCCCCTTTGCTCGCTGCCTAAATGGGCCTACAGTGTGAGAGGTGTGTGGTGGGCTCTCTGCACTCCAATCTCTGCACTCCCTTCTCTGTACTTCACTTTGGTATTGATCATGTTGAACTGTAACCTTTATAAGTCTTACTACTGTTTTGCTGAATCCTCCTGTAATCCAATGTCAACATTTATTAAATAAAGGTTATTTTTTTGGAAAATTCTGGAGTTAAGAAGACTCCCCAAAAGGATCGTTTTGGAAATTTTGTATATTAAAAGTGAGCATGAGAGCCTTAATTACAAAATTTTAAAACTCTGTCATCTAGATAAAGCAAATTAGTCTGCAAATTAGTCTGCAACTGTAAATAACAATTTATTGCTTTATCTAAATGCCCAGTTATCCAGTTAACAGTAAACTGCTGTTATCATATTATCAATAAACCAACACTTCCAGCCTATCTACGGACAGGAACCAACCAACCACCGCACCAGCCCACATATCATTATTGGTCCTGCTACTTTCTTAATATACTCTCTTTAACGATAATACTTTGTAAATAGGTCGCATTAATTCAGTCGTTGTGTCGGTAGTATTCCATAACCCGTTCTACCAGTGCCTGAGTTTAAGTTGACATCCTTTGTTCTTCCTGAGTTAGACTTGCCGATTTCCCCGGATTGTAGTCTGAAATGTCATGACCAGGTAGCGCAGTTGGTTAGAACGCGCAGTTGGTTAGAACGCGCAGTTGGTTAGAACGCCAGCTTTGCAATCGTAAGGTTGCGGGTTCGAATCCCTCTGTCTGTCTGGTCGAGTGGTCGTGGAGTGAGCGTCGTTGACGTTCAGCTAAGGATCCTGAGTGGTCTATGCAGCCCCCCGGTCTACTCAGCCGAATACTCGAGAAATCGGGTGTGAGGTATAAATGAGGAGCTGCACATTGCAGCAAAGTCTCGGGCGAAGAAAGTATGGTACACACTACCTTAACCGTCACTGGCTAAAACAAATCCTTCGGCTTCCTGTAATTGGCTGGTTGCACTTGTGTAACAATGTGGCTGTTGGAATACTCCGAAGTTCGTTTCCTCTGACTTCCATCTGACATGGTAGTTGTACATTTTACCCGATCTTAATGCCCGTTTTACCATCTTAATCGATTGGCATGTACTATCTCCATCATCGGAGATCTCCAGAAATTGGCCTACAGTGCTCCTCTAATCTCAATTTCATTAATCTATAATTACTGAATTGGTCAGGCACGTGGCACGTGACCTAGCCGCGACGGCTAGCAAATCCTCAGCAAAAATTACAATCCTCGTCACGCAACCACCAGCTCTTCTCTCACTCCCAGATTATCAAACTCCCTGACTGGATCAGTTAGGTCTGGTCAGACTATTTAGTGTGCTAATTTAGAGCTCGTTAAACTTTGACTCAATTGTAACTGTACTAATTGGATCAGCTCGCTAACTTTAGGCTATCACCCTGTGGACGTGGGTAACCAACAACGTCGATTATACCGTCAGCTGGAGTCGTCATATTTCAGTATAAATATTATCATTCATTTCTTATTCTCCTTATTTTTTATCCTATCAGTATTTTTGTGTGTTCTCAAGATCAGGAAATGTTCTGATCGGCTGTCTTCGTGAGACTACAGTAGTATAGAGTAATAAGATTCAGAAAGTTCACCATTATACTCTCCTAAATTTGCTTGCGTTTCCCTTGTTTAATGAACGTCACCACCTATTGATAAGATTGAGGAGCGCTTAATGCCGCCAATGAACCATCTTTAGAGCGTTTAGGAGGCCTCCTTCCGGACCCACCCCTGTAATCCTGGGCCCACACGTGAGGGTCTATTAGCGAGCCTGAGCAGTTAAAGGATTAGCTCATCACAGATCATAGCTAGCTTATAATCGACACGTCTTAATATTAGTATGTAATGAGCGGCCCATACTGCAGAATACAGCCTTCATTCTGTTCTCAAGCTGCAGAATATAACAGCCTTCATTCTGTTCTCAAGCTGCAGAATACAGCAGACCTTCCTCAACGGAATTTCTTCTTCATCTTCTTAAAACTCCCTTCCTTTTTGCCCTTCTGCTTAACGTCCATTTTTCAGCTTCGTTTATGTGAATGTGTTCTCGAAAAGTGTTTTGCTATATGCTCGTGGGTCATGTGGCCCTTGTTACAAATGCATTCCATTGGTTACCAATGTTTGACAACGTCATACTGTGATGAAGTTAGATTGGAGGGAGTGGTTGAAGCAACTAGGTTTAAACTGACCAGCTTTCCACTGCCGCCAATCACATCTTAATTTCTGGCATTATTCGGGCCTAATTTGCCCGAAAATCCTTAATTAAGATCGTTACATAGCCGTTTAGACATTCAGTAATTAGAGGCCTGGCATGGACATTTTCTTTAGAATGTGGATAAACGAAATGTTTCAGAGCGAGAAAACTCGGACCAATCAGGTAGAAAATCATCTTGAAATTGTTTTTTTCCTACGGAAAAGGCTAAAAAATGGGTGTTTTGTCGCAGCAAGGTGGTAACCCCAATTCCAAGAAAAGAGAAGAGTCATTTACGTGATTATAATATTTTATCGACAGTTTTATCTTAAGCATTGATTGCGATATATCGTCTTTTCATTGTCCTGGACAGACCACCGATGACCGAACCGACTAATTTAACTAATACAGCAAATGTGCAAGCTGATTAGTATTAACCATTCATGATTGACAATTTATCGAAATCTTTGAATAACTTATGCTTGAGACTTCCGAATCCGGGTTCACTGTTGACAAATTAATTTGATGATTAAGAGTAGAAAATAGAAATTGAAAGTTTGAGTTACTTCTCTCATTAGAGATAAGAGTCAAATTTCTTTATTATATCTTCAACATCTTATGTAAATACAAATTCTACTCATTTTACTGAAGAACACTGGCTCGGCAGCTGTTTGAAAAGTTTTTAAAACCAAGACAACATCACGATTAATGGCTCGGTCAGACCCTCAAACTATCCCTGATCTATCATGTGCTCAATTAACTTAATCCCAAAACATTGCTCTGGTCTGAATGCGAGGATGTGTCCTGCTACCCTTGGTGGACTTATGATCCTGCTAAACTGCCGACGTTAGGATGTGCCTCGTTAGAGTCAGAGATTGAATGAACCTATCGCTTTAATCCTACCTTAAATTAATGTATTAAATCCGGCAGGCTTGTAGAGTAGGGCCTCCTGCTCTCCTTCTCTTCTCCAACCTGATTTGATGTACTTCCCCTGTATGTCCACGTGAACAGCCCACCCTGTTATTAAAATGATCCCACCAATAACCGGAGGTTTCCGGGGGGAGTTCACGGGACATGCTCGCACTTTACTCGCGGCTTTTGTGAATCCTGCTCTGTAATACTAGCGGCTTTTATAGGGCTCATCGCGCTGCCAAACTTCTTCTAGTCTTTATTGTAATTCGTTGCTTAACAACTGAGATTCTGTTTGTGACTGATTCTCTAACTTCTTATAGGTTACTGGGCGAAGCAGTTTACCCTCTGAAAGATTTGGTTAGGTTAGGAGCACAAGAGGCTACTGTACCACTCAGAGACAGAGACGGTAAAGTTGGAGAGGTGAGCCTAATATTTAGAATATTTTATATTTACTTTTTCTCCAAATATCCCATATTCTACTTTTATTTTTTATCGCTATATTCTAGATATATGCACTATCTCTTGTATCGCATCTTCTATCTTTCCTAAAGTCCCCGTTCTGCTCGCTGGAGCTTAATGTCTCTGTTGGGAGGGTGTATAGTGTTTAACTTTGTAGTTTAAAAGACAGGTTTTCTTCAAGTGATCCTAGGACCAATTTCATCAGACAACACTACAGTATATATTATAAAGGACAACACTCGACTGTTTTCATCTTTCTGGCCTTGACATGATGCTGCCTCTGTCTGATATGACATTTCATATTAGTAAACAGTTAGAAAGTGTTGTGTGCCGAATTAGTTGACCGAAGCTATTTTGGAATCCACGTGATTTGCACAATTGGGTAAGTTTGATTCGAATCCTGTCCAAGATTTTAGGAATCTTGCATTCTTGCCGACATTTCGCAGAAAACAATTTATTGGTATCATTTTCTGTACTGGGAACGCAAAGACCTCCATTTGATCGTCAACTAAAACTTCGTACAGTTCAAAGCGGCAAGGTCATTATCTTATTGATAAACTGCTGATTAAACAGTCATCGATACAATGAGAACGACAGAAAGTCCACTTATACCAAATTGACAACTTTCTTGAATTAAACTCTAGCAATTATGTGAAACTTAGCGTCTTCTCAGTTCTCAGTTTAATTATTATCAATATCCATAATTTGTCTATTTTTGTATTATTATTTGTGTTTACTAATATTAAGTCATTATATGTCCTTGTGTGTGTTTACGCAGTCAAAACTGCATATTGTAGTTGTTTTTTTACGTCATCATAAGCTTAGGTGTATCAGCGCTTTTAATATGAATTGGGGTAGATTGTCTCCAACTTCCAAGTGTAATGATCGAAATCGCTCCATTTGTTTCATCCTTTGAAGTAGTATAAAATGGATGTTAATCCAAATATCTGCTTAAATTTTGAGAATCAAATAACATGCATTGTGCTGGTCTTGATGGCGCCAAATACAATGGTGAAGCAGTTAACCGATAGAATTAGGCACTTAAGCTGCACTAAGCAGCACAAGCAACTGACAAGGGTCACTAATTGATATCTGCTTGATAACTCCGTGATGAGTTAAAGCTAGTCATTATCAGGTCATCAACAGGATCCTGTGTGCTTTAGGCTCTATTTGTGCTTTTCAACCACCCTTTAAACTCATTTCAGTACTATCTCAAAAGTTCTGAAAAAATGAGTTTATTGGTTGGTCGGTTGTAGGGTTAATTGGATCCATCGACTGAAGATCACAACTGCATTCCGCAGAAGACCAGCTGTCCAATCCTTTGGAAGCTGTTCCTTAAAGAGTAATAGTAATTCCTGCCGCTGGTATCAGTCTTGTTCAATCACAGCCGCCCTGAAATACAATAAATTGGGATAGAGGGCAGACTCCACTGGGCAGATGTGTATACGGGATTACATTTCGGACTTGTCCTTATTTTGTCCTTGCCAGTGTTCAGTAGCTAGCGGAGGAGCTGTTTTTAGAGCGAGGAATTTAGTGTGATCTCTGTGAGTCCGGGTTATGAAGCTTCCGGAGAGATTTCTGGTAAGAATTCTAACAAATTATTGCAACTCGGATAGCCAAAAGTGGAAATCAATAGTAGATACTCGAGCCGAAAGGACTTGTAATAATTGATCATGTTAGCAAGCCCAACTGAAGGCATTATGACAGGCAGCTGTAACAGCTCCGTGCTTCTATCACCATGGAAACAACTGGATGATCACACCCTTGGAACTGAGCAGCTGAATATAACTCATAATCGGTCCCCTAATTACCCCACGGGGCCGTTAGATATACTATACTGTATATACAATTATCTCTCTCGAGCCTGGGAAGCTTTCCCCGGAAATGAAGCTCTGCTTGTTACCATGGGTTACGTCACGTACCACTAGCTGCACACTGCACTGTGGGAATTAAAAGAGCCGTATGACATCTGCGGTTATAGTAGTACCCTGGCCAGGATACAGGCTGGTTTAGGCTACATTACTGAACTAACAATCTACATGGTAGTGGTAGAGATAAGACACTGGCGGAATCTAACCGATTCTTACGCACTGTGGTGACCTCTCTCAGCTAATTAACTGGCTCCTTTGTCGGACCAACTGTCCACGAGGTCCTACGTCGTCATGGCTACCACCATTTGGAGGGCGACTCCCTAACTCGTGATAATTTTTTATCTGTCCACTTCTCATAGATACCCCCTCCTTTTGTCTCGCTCTGTAATCTGCGCCCAAATCATTATCTAGCTTACTTTGGAGTATACAGCGATCAGTATCTCCCTCTTATTGTTTTGAACTCTTTATTGCATTGGTAACATGACTGAACTCAAGTCCATGAAGTGTTGAGGACCTGATTTGACGCTGAAATGTCAAAGCGTAAAGCATCTCTGGCGGAACGTTTCTCAGGGGCACCCGTCCCGTCTCCCTCCAACGAGCAGGCCTATCTGGACGAGCTGTATCTTATCAGGGAGCAGGAGGAGCAGGAGGGGGACAGTAAGGGGGGCTTGGTAAAGAGAGCTACTAGGAGACTGACCAAACATAAGCTGGAGCGGGGTTCTGAGGATGAGGCAGTAGATAAGGGAGCTAGGAGGGGCTCCTCTGTAAGGAAGCTCAGTCTGGCAAAGAGGTTGCATCATAAGGAGCCTGACCTTTCATTAGACGAACAGGTGTGATGAGAGATCTTCAAAACGTTTCCTTGTGTTTTTGGAGAGTTTGAATTGTTATTTTGTGATGTTGATGCTGTTATGAGTTTCTTATCATTCCATCTTTTCAGAGTCGATTGAACCTCTATTTGGAATACACTAAACCAACTCTTGACCCTGATGAGGAGATGGAAGAAGGTAAGCTTGTTTAGGGAATCATTCTTTTAACCCTTCTGTAATTTTAACACGGATTTTTTTAGCCGCACGGTCCCAATATAGCTCAAACCTTAGGTCTAATGGTGTCAAATACTTGAAATTCCTATCTACTTCCCTCTTAATATTTTCCAGTCATTTCAACTCATCTTATATTCGTTTCATTACATTTTTCTCATTCAGTCAGCCATAGTTATTTCGCAACATTTATCTGGATACATTTGATGACTTCATATCGAGACCAGACTTTGGTAACAACTAACAGACAAGCCGAACAGACAAACCCAAAGACTTTCCAAACTTAAAAGTTACCACGCCTAAATTACAAATATTACTCTGCATTTTACGCCGGGGATACAAATTTTATCCCCTTAATGACAACAATATTATCCGTGATTAGTCGTAATTAGTCATAATTAGTCGTAATCACTCAAAACCGCGTCTCCTGCACGTGGTGATTATCTTCCCGCGTAAGTAATTCTGTCCCTGATCCTGAAGGCTGGTCTATCCCGCTAATCTCTACATTTCCTGAACTAACTTTATAGTTCTCATCTTTACTTATGAGCACACGTCATTTTGATCATAATTGTCCCTACTTGAGTATGATACTTAGGATCGTCTTAGCAACTGGGGCAGTTACACTTTGTGCCCTTTATAGCTGTAGCAGTGGTCTTATCAGACTCAATACTAAGAGATAAAGAAGGAAACTATTTGCCCTGCCCACGTGGGTGATACTTGTTAACTAGTTGTTATCAACTATATAATAAGTTGGATTGTTATCAGCTACTTAGTTACATCTCGCTTCTACTCAACGACCGAGTTTTATCTATTGCAAATTTGCCAGCCATTCATGGTGTAGACCCATTCAGTTTAATATGATACTTGCATATCAGTTGTCTTATTGGATCCATTCATTTCGGGATTATCTGTTCATTGCTTATCAGTTGTTTTACTCGATAATTTCCTTTCAGGACTATCCACTGAACATATGCTTGATTTGTGGGCTCCTTTAACCCATTAGGGACGACGAGTTTTAAAGTTTGCCGATTTTGATGCCGTTTAACACACTAGGTCACTTTACAGCAACAATTAGATATCCAAAAAAGCTAATCTGTATCTCGTTTACTATAAAAGATACAGCGACGGACAAAAACGACCCACTCGTCCGGGTCGCAAACGACCCATCACGGTATTTCGGCTATTACCTCTGAAACAAAGACGCTAGGATAGAATAAAAATTGTATCGTAAGTTAAAAGCATATGGCCAATACTGTGTGACTCTAACTTTTTAAAAGTTTAAATAAAGAATTTGGGTCATTAACGACCCACTCAGCTCACTCAGCAAGTGATTATCATCATAAACTGCGAAAAATCGGTTAAATGGGTCATTAGCGATCCACTAGGACAACAAAATTGATTAATAAAATACATTTTTGTCAAAGACTTTTACAAATATTAGTATAAAAACATTTTATATCTTGGTCATTACTCCTGTACGTTGATTTAACTTTTAAAATCGATGAACTGGGCCAATAACGACCCAATCGAAAGTTATTGAGCGTTTAGTATTTTGGTTTGTCCTCTATAGCCTCTAGAAAAGGTGGGTCGTAAACGACCCTATCGTCCCTAATGGGTTAATCATCATAGTACGAACTCCTGTAGAAACTCAGAAATTCCATGAAAACCTTGCGACAATTATATTGCTTCAGGAAATTCAATGACATTAATGGAGGCTGTATTAATTAGTGATAGTTGAAACTGGCAGCGTAGTCATCGATCATTCGACCGCAGTGACGATAAACAAAGTTTCCAATTATCACTGATAGTTTCAATTATCGCTGATCATGGAATATAATAATTAGTATCTAAATCCGATTATTGCCAAAGACTGGTGTCATTGTCAGACAGTTTCTTGTGTTTCAACTGAGCTATGAAAGAGGCGGATGTCGTTGTTAAAAATAGTCTCAATCCCTGTTCGGTATATTCATTGCTTGACTTTGTCTCCAGTAGTTGTATTCTGTTACTTTATTCGTAATCTCTCTCTTTGGTGTATTATAAGGGTACATATAATAATATAACATATTCTATATATGATAACATTTTAACTGCTTCAACTTTCAAGGCCTCAGTTACTGCTCAATTAGGACATCAATTAGATGGCTCAACTACCATTTTCATCTTAACCAGCCATCTCGGCAAAAAGTAATAAATAAGAACTCTAATGATTTATTCATACTAAACTGTAGTATTTTAGTAGTCAGTTTGGTTTCAATTACAGTACTTACGTAAATGCGTAATGCGTATGCCGTATAGTTTTGATAAAATATAATAAATAATCCTCATTTTGGTTTTGGCACTTACAGTTTTGTATTGTATAGCCCTTGCAACTGTCCCCGGGTGAAAATAATGAAGAACAAGTTTGGTGGCTCCTCTTCAGGCCGGCCCACCTCTCCTCTACCGTCAGATAGTGGAGGGGGGTGGGTGCCCTCTGAGAAAGGAGGTCCCACCAGGAGGTCCACTGCTTGCTCTCATCCTGAGATAAGTCCCATAAAGAACGCAGATATACTCCCTCTCTTCCACTCCAAGACTCCTAGACTCAGTACAACCACTGAGTATCAGCCTTACTGTCCAGGCGGTACGTCACAACCTTAATACTAGTTGCATATTTTACTCACACTTACGATCATACGTGACGATTACTATTTTATTGAACATTCATTTCATCCACAAAATAAGACAATCGCCCTCCCCTACCCCGCGCCGATAAACAGAGTTTAGAGTACAGTTTCTGAGACACCCCTTCTCCTAATACATCTGTAGTTTAAAAGGTGTTGCAGGCACGGTAGCAGATGAAGCGGGAAACCCGATCCCTGACGAGACTGAGCAGGAGATTGAAGTGGCTCCGGGGGAGACTCCTGGTGCTGCCAAGAAGAAGAAATCGTGAGTACTTTCTTAAAATTGTCGTTGTAATTCATTGACTTTTTATGCTTCGTGTAAATTGGTTAATTAGTGTGGTGCAGTAATGAGCATTATTTTGTGTGTTCTTTTTCCTTCGTGAAGCATTAGGAGAAAGCTTGTATACTTTAGTGTGGTAACGGAATACTCTTTAAAGCAAAAGACAGCGCAACCCTCAAAACTATAGTTCGTAAGTTTAAGACAACCCCAGAATGTTGCATGAGTCGTATGATTAATTACCATGAGAGGAAGAGGGGATCATGATCCTTCTCCTGTAGATTGGTGGTTCAAATAAGCAGCTCGACGATTATAGATGACCAACCTCACGCTTACTTGTAGCATGATGCTCATTGTGAAGCTATTTTATGTGCTGTTTGTTGCTAAAAGCCCAATTTTATCCTCCACATTCCTCCGTCTGTTTAAGCTGCGGGAACTTGGACTGCAAAATGGGGAAAATACAGATCACAGGGGAAACAGATTAAACCTCCTGGATTGAAGATGCTTACTTGCAAAAAGACTTCTACACTTCGACCATATAATATGTAAATACTGTAATATTTGTACGTCCCTCTTTTTAACATCTGACAGAGCCAATCAATCGGATGAGATCATCACGACTGATAAATATGCTCAAGTTAGATAAACAAAATTTTGTTTGGTAATTGTAGAGTTTGGTTACTCTATAGCTTCTCTAGTCATGCCTATGGCAAATTAATTGCGGGTTCAATGATTTTTGCGGATCTCATTTTTTGATTGGTCTTCTTGGTATCATCTTCATGGTATCAGTTCAGCTTCATGTTTTACTCCATTTAGTTTTAACCTCTAGTTCATGCTTTCGACAACTTATTGATAGACGAATCTGCTGACTCACTTATTTTATAAGTGTGCACAGTGGTTCAAGGTCATTACCAGTGGTTCAATATTGTTTCACTTACTATACGCCGTGAAATGGTGCATTAGCCTCTATTTCTCTATTTACACTTTTAGACCATGCGCATCCGGCGCCATGGCACTAATCGGCTAAGATGGGAAAAGAGGAGGTAAATGGTGCAGAGGAAGATATCATTATCACGTGACAGTATTAATATAGAACAGATCTTGCCTAAAATATTGGTACATATGAAGCGGGGCTAAGTCCGTCTATTTTAACCAAGTATTTCAAATTAGTCCGAAGTTGAAGGGTTTAGTCCAATTAAACCCCCACAGATGATTATTCTAATGCAAGACGGTCCCGATTTATCCGAGTATTTTATGACCTGGAACATGGTGGTTACCGGACCTCATTTCCGTACAGTTCTCCTCACAGCGGCTAAATGGTAAATTGGAAAGAAATGCTTGTTGAACGCCGCACAGGTGGGTCCTTTTACTTTTAGTCAAGTACTCTGCTCAGATTCGACCTTAGTCCTGAAGAGTGGATACTATTTGGGTTACTGCCCTAAATTTCCTGGTGTTTTGAGCCTATATCCTATAGCAGAGGAGCTGAAGGTCCGTGCATTACAACCCGTACATTACAACTAAGTAGGACAAGTTTGAGTTGCGGTGCTAGCATTAAGCTTCTTCATAGTACCCTTGTGGTTACCTTTGAACCAATGATACGCTACAAATGTCTGCTGATATTTAAGTACCTGAGTACCTGGAGCTATAGATTCCCATTATTTATCGTTTTGAGTAGCACTCTATGTTTCCAGAACCTTCAACCTACTCGTGCCTTGTTTTCTGCTTCGACATGGTTTGTTGCGACAACAATTTTACGTAAACTGCTTTAGGGTTTTTTTTAACGTAAACACTAAACGGTTTTGTTTGACGCTTTTTAAAAAGATGGTCATTCGGTGAATATGGAATTCTCAATACCAAAGAGCCGTTTAGTTTTGAGGAACCGGGGATTCGTCACCACTGTACTTTTCAAACCAGTTTTTGAAAAGATGGTCAAACCAGATTGGAGTTTGGACCATGAAATTTAAATGCAAAATCTCCACACCAAAAGACTTTAATTTTAAATAACTTAAATTCTTAGGTAATTAACCCAAATTTTGAATATTAATACTCTAAACATAAAATTAGGGCAACTAAAAGCCTTTGAAATCAAAATGGTCGCCTCGTAAATTTGGCCGTCCCGGTGTCCCATCTCAAACTTTTATTTCTCTTAAGTATTGTGCTTTAAAATGTAATGTTATGAAAGGAAAATCTGTTAGATGTGGGTATAACTTGATATGCACTGTATGGTTATAATCGTTATTTGTCTGTTTAAGATTTGAAGTTAAGGATATCAAATGGAGACCATGTCTAGTCATTGACCACTGATTGGGCAAGGAGCAGCATGTCATAGACTGACTCAGTATTTCTTGTTAATGGTGTCCAGGAAGATGGTCCTATTAGTACTGGCCTGGCAAGGAATTAAATAAATAGGAGATCAAATTGACTATTAAATTGACATGATAATCCACGTTCAAAGTTGACGCATCCCCAAGTTTCTATTTATTCAAATTACCCGATTGTTTGGTATTGGCAATTTAATATTCATCGCAGTGTCCGTATTCTTCAAAAGTATTAATATATTTATACGACATATTACATATCTTCTCGGACGTTATTTGAACGGACGTAGCGTGAACGGGTATTAAAATGAACGCTCGAAGACATTCATATGATTTAACTGCCTTGTCGGACTTTATTTGAACGGGCATTAAAATTATCTGTAGGGTCTCCAGCGTCCGATTAATGTCCGTTCAAATAATATCCGATAAGGTAGGTACTAGGTATAGGCTAGAAAAGTTAGTATTGGATTATCACTCAAGAAGTTGTCGATAAGTTAAATTGTCCTGACTTTGGAGCGTTTGGTGCCAGAAACAGTCTTGAACTTCATAAATGTCGTTTAAATGATATAAATAACTTGTTGAAGAACAACGTCTTTGTTCGCTAGGAATCAACTTTATACATTTAGAGATTTAGCTCTATTGGTAGTCGTAATATTTTGATCGGCCGCAGTTAATATCCGCCTCGACACGTTATTATAGTTTCAAGTTCTAATTTACAACCAATGTGATCACTCATTACCTGGGATGATGATCAGGTATTAGCAGTTAGACAGACTCTATTGAGTTGCTTCATCGGTAAATTGCTGGGATCATATACCGAAATTATGGTGATTATTAATAGTTATTGCTTGGATAGGCGGCTTATCGTCCTTGCTCGGGTCACATGGATAATGTGTTATACAGCTTTCTGACGAATCGTGTGATAATGTTAGAGTTATAGACTGACTATTGTGTTTATATAATCAGGAACAGTCTCTTTTATCTATAACTGTGCGATTTTCTTTAGTTAACATGGTGATCTTTTGGATGACATGAAACAGTTTAATTCCCCTGCTGTGACAAATCCGGGATTGAAGATTGATAATAGAATATAACCATTTGTAGTGCTCTAAACTAGCTGTTCACCCCCACTTAGTTTAGTTTGTCCAGAAGAACTCGACCGTGGACACTACTCCTAACAAAGCATTTGTGGTGAATCTGGAATATTTGGCTGAATAATTAGCTAATTAAATAATTAGCTAATTAACTGGAGCAGTGGCGGGGTACGAGTCATCACTGTTGGAGCTGGGGGACCTGTCTTCTCGCGGTAGTAAGCGGTCCCCCGGGGCTCCCAGTAAGATGAATAAGAAGGGGAAGAAGGTACGCTCCATCTCCATGGGCAATATCCATACGGGAAAGGCAAGATACGGACAAGACATCATGGATGATGAGGACTTGTTCGACCAACCTACAAACCCAGATATTCGTGATACTACTGAACGTGCCGGGACACGTGACACACCTGCACGTGCAAAGGAAGGTAAATCAGGGAAATCTCCCGCCAAGTCTAAAGAAGGGATATCAGATGAGAAAATAGCTGTGCCGGGGGCTCCTAACCGTCCCTCCAAGCCTGTGGATAGGTCAGCTGACGAACGGTTTGATACATTTCTTAATCGTGCAGTGTGTTTTGTGCTGTGTGTTTAGTGAGCGTGCTAAATGTTGCTACATGTGTTGTTATTCTGTTAAGATATTCGTTATTTTGGATAGGGGATGCTGGATGGGAGGGGGTGTTTATTAATCTCAAATATGATATGAAAGAAGTAACTACTAACTAAATTGTTAATAATTGATTAATTTTCCGCGCTTGATGTCCTCAACAAGATGTTATCAACCATGATAAGAATGGCGGGTTCAGGAATGAAGCACTAGCAGACTCTGCTTGACCGTTGAATGTGCAGACGAGATTTGCATAGTGAGAGTGTCTCACTTCGCAATGGAGATTTGGTGTGACAAGATAACGAGGCTTAAATGAGTCATTATCATGAATCATGATTCATGATCTGCATTTCAGAAATCAGATACATAATTTACAGTTCCCAGCTGTTGATAATTCCCCCTATGGTGCAATACCAGGAATTGGGGGGTTTCTTCCGTCTGACAAATTTTGTTACATAGCCAGCATTTCTTAACTTGCTCAATCTCACGATGTTTTCTCTCAGCGATGGATTATTTAAAAGAACCATTCAGCTAAAAGCATTCAATCCACTCAAATACAATTTAAAATCTTGCAGCCAAGATTACTGTCATTTATTTGCATAATCAAGACATGTCGTACAACAAAACTGTTGAGATTGAGTGAGGGCCAGTCACCAGGCATCATGAAGACAGCATATAAACTACTTATATTAACCTGAGTTAGAGAGACACCAACCTTTCTCTCTTCTTAGATGTCTACTCTTTGAACTTTTAACTGGTCAGCTAACCTGACAGACAAATAAAGCTGGTAACCGCTCTGTCCGCTCCAGTCTGCCCTAGTGTCCAGTAATTTGGTTGCTCTCTCTGAGATTCAGATGGAATATTAGAGATATCTACTCAGTGCTCTGAGTTTAGATCTGATGTGTCAGTGTGACCAACACGGTACAATACATACAGTATCTATACAGCACGTATCTTTTGGAGGAGTTCATCTCAAGTAGACTAATGGAGCAAATACTTCTCTTATCAAGACCGCACAATGGAAGAACCACGCCCCTATACAGCCCCTTTGTCAATCCAAGTCACCACTCTGCTACCATGGTATGACAACGCTCCCTCCCCCTCCGCGGGCCTCTATTCTATAATATAACAAGAGTTACTGGCTTGCAATACTGGGGTTAGTTTTGTTTTGGCTGATGACCTCTGCAAGTTATCGGCAGCCTAACTTAACTGCCTGGCAACAACAAGTCTCTCACCTCGTACACACATAGTACCCCGTGTGAATGTAATGATTTGAGTATGTTTTGCTGGGACTGGTTAATGTAAAGGTTCATACGGTACATATTGTGGTGCACATTGTGGTACATATTGTGGTACATTTTGTGGTGAACATTATGGTACACATTGTGGTACACATTGTGGTACACATTGTGGCCTTGTGTATCTAGACAGTTTGACATTGTGCAGGGTTTCGGAAATTTTTTATCGATACCTTTGTCTGCTTCTTATCTATTGTACTCAGAGCCTAGTGCTTCTTTTTGAGATTGTCTTCCTTTTTTGGGTACTGTCCATTAATCTCTCTGACCTTGAATTAATTAGTTGGGCGAGTACACTAATGCTGTGACAGGTTATAAATCTGGCTGCATTATATATGCTTGTAACAGAGGCCAAAGGGCGTGGCAGCCCGTGATTGGCCAGAAAACGGTTCAGTTATGGGAGTTACGGTGATCGTAGCGTCACATGACAGGATAGAAAATGGTGTAGTTATAGTAATCACATGACAGGACAGAAAATGGTTCTGTAACGGTCGAACTGTCACAGACTTGAACCAAGTAAAGTTTAGCGAAGTCCTTGTTCGGCAATCTGTCTGGAAAATACATGATTTAGACATAAGTCTAGTGATTATATAAGGAGCGCTTCTCCAAGCTTTTAGATACCTTCACTTCAACATAATCTAGTTCTTGAAAAATCCCACCCGCAATATGTATTCTTTCGAATATTTTAAACGACCATGGTTTTAGAAGATTGCATTCAAAATGTTAAGTACTCCCCACTGTGCTCCTATTGTTTCTATTCTAATGGGCCGGCTTCTTTTGTTCTGCACAAGCCTTATCTTATCCGTCTATATCTCTACTTGTATTTGTGACATTCTCTCTTCGAGGACCTTTTTTTTCTTCGGAAATGGTTTTCTTGTCTGCGTGGACCTTATCTTGAAGGTAGCGTTCTTCTTGTCATCAGGAGCTTTCTCTTTTGGTGTGAAACTTGTCTTGTCTATGGGGACCTTATCTGATCTACGGACACCTTTTCCTGTCTGTGAGGACCATATCATATTGTACCTTATTTTGACTGTGGAGATCCTTTCTTGTCTATGGGTATCTGTGAAGATCTGCTGGCCCCTTATTTTGACTGTGAAGGCCTTTTACTTTAGTGTGCAACACTTATCTTGTCAGTGAGGACCTTATCTTGTCTATATCATATAATGTGGACCTTATCCTGTCTATAAATGTAAAAACCTGTGGGCCCATTATCTTGCTTGGGAATGATTATCTTATCTATGGGGCCCTTATCTTCTCTGACGTTATCTTGTATGTGGTCTCCTTACTTTTTTCTGTGAGGCCTCTCATTACTAGTATTATCCTCTTATCTAATTAAGTATATAGTGATTAGTGAGTTAGTAAACCTCAAGAACCCGGTTGTGCTCATGAATCATGACGTAGGTGGGATGAACTTTGTGGGATGAACTTTGTAGGATGACTTGTTATTTACATAGGTCATTTCCGAGCAATCTTAACGGTTGCCACAGCTACAGTGGTAGCTTGCATTTTCAATAGACTGTAGGATGTTTATAAATAGCTGTCTGCATAGGATGGTTTCGTCTGCGGTCCATTGCTGAAAGCAGTTATGTAGTTATAAACCATGTATGTTGCTAGAGCGCAGAGTTAATGTTACTTATCTTACTTAAGCGGGCGTTGCCATGCTAACCGCTTCACACGCCCTAGCCCGACCTTTAGTATAGTTAGAGTTTAGTTAGAGTTAGAATCACCTCTGTCTGTAGTAACCTGACTTCCTGCCAGTTTCCGCCTTGTTGAGTACAGTATATCTGCAGTATCTGCTTTATCCTCCTACTGTGTATCCTACAAACGTTCTCCGTAATCCTCAGGCGTACTTTAAGTCTGACCGTTTAGCCAATTAGTTGGTTGCGCTCTAATTTCAGTCCGCCAATCACAATTCAAGTAGTTCTATTAAGGCCGGCAACTTCCATGGAAATTAAGTGGGTTGCGGGCGGGTCGACCGAGGCCTGTATTCGAGTTTACCACAAGCAACTGTGGGCAGGTTTAGTAGAGCTGCTGCTACACAAACAAACACAATCATTGCCGTCAATTTCTTTAACGTTTGTTTACATTAGGCGAATGTTTGTTTAACAGATATAGATGAGTGATAAGATAAGTCGGAGTGAGGTGACGTTTGATGACTACACCCTGGAGGTGGATGACCCGGGGGACATCATGGATGATGACGACTATGATGATGATGATGAGTACCTCTACGAGGACGAGCTCTTAGACCCCAAAGATAAGAAAGGGAAGGATAAAGATGGGAAAACTGTTGTGGTGCCAGCTAAGGAGAAAAGGCTGGGAGGAAAGAGGGCTTATAAGGAGTACATGGAGTCAATGAAGAACCAGAAGAGAAATCTACCCATGAACCCTGAAAACCTGCCCCTGAAGCACAAGATCAAGAAGATCTTCAAGAATGACCACCGCTACTACGGCAAGTACGTGTTCACACCCCACCTCTCACTTTCCCTCCCATTTAGATTACTCAGCTGAGTTTATTGTTAATTGTGGTCGGTTAGCGGCGAAAGTATCAGTGTCTCGAACGAGGGATGGGCAAGTCTCGTTACGTAGAATGTTGTGAAATTGTTCAGATTTGTCAACTCTGTACCAGGTCAGATCGGTCTCCCGTCCGGTAATAGCTGACTAATCAGTTAACTGTTGTGAGAGAAGTCACTGTGATGCGATACCATTGGCAGCACCTATCAGCGCTGATTAATGATATTGCACCCCGGCTGACAAATCATTCAGTGCTGCGTCTTTCTTTCCCGAATTATCCTGATCCCGATCGCAAGATCTTATCCTTAAAATTAGAAATTATCCGGTGGTAGGTGCTGAAATTTTGTAATTATCACAGTTATACTAAAATCGTCAGCGCACTTTTCCAGCCTATCAATTATGAGGGTGGATTAGTCACAGGATGTCGACCAGTCAAACCTTGACCAGTTCACACATGACAATCTAACCTGGGCACGTGTCCGGTCAATCCGCCAATCCGATCGCACCTTTCTTACCCTGCCTAGATTTTAATTGCCAATCTTAGGGCTGGTTATCTCCATATACAGAATTAAATAGGACGTAGCCGGATTGACTACAGGACGATCATTTCCCACTTGTGGTGTTGAGATTTGTTGTGCAACTGACCGTTATTTAGTAAGACGGAGAATTTTATTGTATCATGGACCCTGATGAACTTGAGGAAGATGAGGAGATAGTCGAGGTTTCAGGACAGCCTAAAGAAGAAATCCGCGAGAAAGTCAAAACTGCTCAATATGACGAGTACGCGATCTTTTATTCTTTTGGAGTCCAATAATCGACCGGAAATCCGGTCCGCTCCGATATAATTTTGCACCGATCGGGTCTGGATCAGTTCAGTGTTCGGCCTGTTTTGCCAGGAATCCTGTCCGGTCTGACAGGTCGGATCCAGTAATAAAAACGGCAATGCAGTCGGTTCAGGATCCTTGCGAACCTACCATATATTCTCATCAGAACCGTTATTCTTTGCTTAAATAATACTCGGGGAGTGGGATTAAGTGGGTTTAGTGTTTAGGGAGTGATGTTGTTTGATTATAATAGGACTCACTAACGCTGTTCAGGAAAGTGGAAACCGCTTTGTTTAGCATTGTTTTACCCGCTAAAAGCACTTAATCAATTAACTATTTATCTAATATTCAGGCACTAAATTAGTTTAATAAAACATCATATAAAATATTTTTAGACTTGAAATCTCGATGAAAATTCACATTCATTCCATTTCAGTGTAATAGCAGCTCCACGATCTAGCATTGATCGTTCTAAACTCTCGACCAAAAAGCAAGACTTCCAGGTAAAAGCTAGTTTCAAATTGTCTCAGACGACCCTTCTCTCAAATAACTATTTTCTCAGCAAATAATGTAATATTTCGTGTAATTTTATAAGCCCACTGCTGAGATTACCTTCAATTATCACAGTCATATATAATCATTATCTCCTGGCCGTTAAATGGAAATCGTCATTAGAGAAATAGCTATACACTGGCGATCAAATTTATAATGAGTTATATTCAAAATTCAACCCTTAAAAATTGAATTTATTTCTGAGCGGGCCGTAACGTTTTTTGATGAACTAACTGAGTCGTAAGCTCTTGTTCTCTCCTTAGTAGCCTTTATCCTTTAAATCTAGTTACATAAAGTTAAACAATTATAATATTAATTTGCTAAATGGTCTCCCTATAAATTAGGCTTGGAAGACCATTTAGCAAATTAATTATGATCGGAACATAATTATGATCATCTATCTACGCAGGTCAGAGTTAATATACACGAGGGCAGGAAACTGCTGGGAGGAAACATCCACCCAGTTTGTAATATCCACGTGGGGAAGCAATCTAAACACACTAGAGTCCAGAAATCTACCAACAAGCCTCTGTGGGACGAGGTCAGTTTATCAGTTCTTATCTCTTTCTTATATATATCCGGATAAGAATTTGTTATCTCTTTCTTATAAATTCCCTGATAAGAAGTTTTTATCTCTTTCTTATAAATTCCCTGCTAAGAAATTGTTATCCCTTTCTTATAAATTCCCTGCTAAGAAGTTGTTACCTATTTCTTAAAAATTTCCCATGATAAGAAGTTCTTATCTCTTTATTATATGTTCCTCGATAAGAAGTTCTTATCTCCATGTTAGATGTTAAAATGTTTCACTAAAACCAAGATTCATTTCACTTCCTTGATGTCCAGACAAATTCTGTAAATAAGGCAGTGAAACGCATTTTACTCGGTGTAGCCACCAATTCTTCATTGTTAGTCATACATCACATCACTCCCAGGTATTGTTCTTTGATTTCAACTGCTCCGCTCTTGACCTGTGTGATGAGCCGGTTACGATAGAGGTACTCAACTCCAGAAAGATCAGATCTGACTCGCTTATAGGAGCATTTAAGTTCGACCTTGGACTTGTCTACGAATCTGCAGGTGGGTACTAACTGGACATTACACTATTGTTAGATTATAGCGCTCCTGACGTGATTCCACGCCTTGTGATGCGTTAGTTAGGAGGGCTGAGTACCTGTTATTATTAGGGGGAACTTGTATGAACTCTGTCACCCCTCAGTCCTCACCTGCCCTCTAGTTAGGAACTTTTCCTCTGTCACCCCTCCAGTTAAGTGACTAACTCTGCTCCCTCAGATCACCAGTTCGTACACAAGTGGGTACTGTTAACAGACCCAGAGGACAAGGAGTCCGGGGCAAAGGGTTATGTCAAGATCTCCATCTCAATCCTGGGACCCGGAGACAAGCTGAAGATCCCTCCCAAGTCCTCATCCAGTGATGATCTGGTTGATATTGAGAGCAACCTGCTGAGACCTGCTGGAGTGCAGCTGCAGCCTGCTACTTACACTGTTAAGATATATAAGGCTGAGGATGTACCCAAGAGTAAGTTACCTCCTATCTAAGAAACTGACAAACTTTTAACTGATAAAAATGCTATTTGACAGAGAACCAACTACATTGGTCAGGCTGTGAACTTTTAGATTGCACGACATTTAAACCTTTACAACTCATAGTAATGGACTTGATATTAACCTTTTCGATATCAATGACAACCTACTATGGACCTTACTGATAGTTTGTTACCGATTGTAAGTGACTAAAACTATGATACTGACGGTGAAAAATAACCTCCCTCTAATTTCAGTGGACACTGACTATTTTGAGGGAATGAAGAGAGTACTCCGGATGCAACACGGAGATCACGATTTAGTGGACCCCTACATGATCGTCAGTTTCGCGGGCAAGAAGCTCAAGACAAAGGTCCTCTACAAGACCTACACGCCAGAGTGGGCTCAGGAGCTCAACATAGGGGTTCAGATGCCTTCCATGTGTGAACAGCTCATGCTCAGACTCATGGACAAGTTAGTTTTAACATTTCAAGTTCTTTCTTTTCGTCTGTTCGTACGTGTGTGCTTAGATAGCGGTTACAAATTTAAGATATTCTCCGATTTATAATTGTTCTGCTTGGTCAAGATTTACACTGCGGTTTGCAATTCTGGTAGTGGTTGTGGGTTATAATGACAACTACCAGTAAATAACAAGCGGTATTTGCTTATAATGGGTATTGAAATGGTGACCAGGTGCAGCACTTGGTGCAGCACTTGCCTGCTTATTATAATATAATAATGCCTTCGGCTCTTCGGGCTCCGCTTGATAATTCCCGACAGCTTGCTGGAGGGAATTTGCGGCCCGAAGAACCGGAGGTATTATGTATTATAATATTTTCCGGTTCCGAATTGGAAGGGGTGTAATCCGATACGTGCGCATGATACAATATAGTGTCTAATATATAGAACGCCAGTGTTATTTGTTTTACAACTTGCCGCCAGCCAGTCTGAGGTCTATGCTGATAATACCTTGGCTTCCCTTGCGGGATATATCGGCAAATTATCAGCTCTCAGTGTCGGAGACTTTTAGTGGATATAATTCCCGGAAGGTATTATAAAATACAGCTCTACTTAACCCTGATGATGCGCTACTTAACCAAGATGATGCAACCTGGTCAGGATGGAGTAACACATGATGTTGTAAGAGGGTTGGGCTCAGTAATCGATATTTAATATCCTAATGCCATGTCTGGTGACTGTGTACAGTAAATTAGTGGCGTCCTGTACACTATACCATTATAGTGGCTACCCTTCTCGAGCTACTATAATAATAGTGACTACTATAATCTTATAATATAGTTTAACGAACCCGCCCTGAGAATACTAGGAGTTGTCACAAGCAGCGACACATTCACACATTGGCAGACCCTTACAATGCCAGTACCTACACCACTGAATCATCATTAGCTGTATACGTGCATGTCACGTGACCTGGGATCAAGGTTGTCTGTGTGCGCGGTGTGTGCACGTGTTAGCCGCCTCTACATCTGTGATGAGGCGGGTATTGGTAGGGTAGATGTCTTCTCTAGATGCAACACGTGCTCTCTTTCTCCCTCGCTGCTGGTCGGTCAGACCACGCCCTCCTCCATGATAGTTGCTCGCCCACAACACAGACCACACCCGGTAACACACGTCACACTCATTAGCTAATTAGCCCACGTGATCAGCCGCAGCACGCCCACAACGATTAGCAAACTCTTCTAATCACACTAATTAGAGGGATAATGAGGCTGCTGGCAGGTGTCACCTGGGATTCCTCTCAGACTCGAGCAAGCTAAACATAATCACATCCTTCACCGCTACTCGCGCTGAGTAAACACGGCCACAAACTCCTTCTGACCTGACCAATTACTGGATTGCCAAATTAATAACATTAGTCTTCCTGTTAATACATTCCCAGATATTGAGACCATTTGATGATAATCATGATAGATGTTGTTATCCAATTAAGTAATTAACTAATTATCGATAAGTTGACTAATGACTCCATTGTTGCAGGGACCACTTTAACCGGGACGACATCATAGCGACGCACTTTCTGCAGCTGACAAGGCTATCATCTGCTGATCCTGATGATGAGGGCTTCCTCCCCACCTTCGGGCCCGCTTATGTTAACTTCTACGGAAGTCCCAGAGAGAGTATTGTGGACGACGAGCTGGAACCTCTTAACCGCGGCTGTGTAAGTGAGAGAGGATTATTTGGGAGTGGGGCTAGGGAGGCGGGTCACGGGTGCGAAACCCTTTTTAGGATGAAATGCGCCATAGTCATTATATGTTTCTAGACGATGGTCTCTGTTAAAAGTGATCTTACGCAATGTTTTTTCTAAATTAGTGTGTTTTTATAGGGTGAGGGTTGTTCGTTTAGAGGAAGAGCTCTTGTAGAGCTGACAGTGAACATTGGACAAGAACCAAGCAAGGATGAGATGTTAAGAGATATAGACGGAGAAGACTGGCTAAGAGTACAGCCTTTCCAGCGACGAAGGAGATACAGACTATTTGTTGGGTTCCTAGAGGGAACCATGATCCACCCAGTAGATGCTCCCGTCGAGTTTGAGATTAGTATTGGTGAGTTGATACTTAACACTATTAGCAGGACGACTTCCATCAATACCATCCACTTCAGACTCACTTCATCACAACTCTATCATATATTCGACCCCAATACCATTTGCCACGTCAACTGAACACCCATCCACGGTAATGATATCCGGTCATGATACTCATTTCATCTCAGCCCTCTGAGTATGGTGATTTGATGTGATTGCTTCATAGTCATCGTCTAGTGACGCACCCAATTAATCCCGTCTACTAATTTTATTTCCTCTGATGGGAAAATCGTAAATAGAGCCACAAATTGCCCAAGAATTACATGCGTCGAACCCACGTCATGCTTCTTCCTCTACAAATAAAATTAGAATTATTCATCCCAAAATACTCTGCTCTAAAAACAACTTGAATTCCAAATAAAGATTTTATAATAAAAAGGAGGATATGAGACGTGACACGACTTTCTCCAATCAGGAGAGTACGGTAACAAGTTTGCCAGCACGACCCTGCCAGCTCCCTCTACCACCCAGCCAACTAACCCTGTGTACGATGGTTCCCACTACTACTACCTGCCATGGGGCCAGACCAAACCTTGTGTCATGCTCAACTCTCAGTGGGAGGATGTCATGTTTAGGATTGAGAGTCTTAACCTCATCTGTAGGACTATTGACAGACTGGTACAAGCAATCTTTGATATTTTTATACTGGTATTTCTTGAAATGCTTGGTTCGGATCCCGCATATTTTTGAGTTTTTTCAGCTTATTCCCAACACCCCTGATTTTACCTACCCTACCTCTAATCCTCCCCCTCCTCTTTCTCAGGAAGGACATCTGAAGGACGTGAAGTACCTGATGAGAGCTAAAGCACCTCTAGCAGAGAGTGCAGGTAAGCTGATAAAATTGCTGGATGAGCTGATCATTGATCTCAACCAGCCTCTCCTCGAGCTCCCTCAGAAAAATATCACGGAACTGGACAAGAAGTTGTACGCTCTCAGAGACGACGAGATGGTCAGTGTTCTCAACTTTCTTCTCTTATTACTAATTCATAGTTTCGTACTCTACTTTTCTATGGGCTCGTCATTAAAACGCACCGGTTTTCTTTTAAATTTGTCGATCATATATTCATCCTGGCTATGGTAGGGAATGTTTCGCTACGTTTCCAGCTGGTAGTACAGCTCACGTAATATGTTTCGTGCAAGTGGTTAGCACAAAGCTGGTCGGCTCGTGGGATGGTCGGATAATTACCTCTAGATAACAAGCTCTCCAAAAGTAGAAGCATTCCTTCCTGGTTTACACTCGGCCTAACATACCATACATCTACCGTCTTTCCTACACGTACACACCACTAACAGACCTTTTATAATATTAACTTGTGTTTCAGAAACGAATCCTGATCGAGGCAGTGAACTTGCGAGAGAATGCCAGAGACATTGAGCAAGCCATTATTGAGATCGACAGTTATATTTACAGACTCCAACAGATCGCAACTGAGGTTAGTTGACCTGTTTTCCAACTGCACGTGGGTTATGTAACATGTTGGCATGTGCACGACGCACGTGTAGTTAACATGCGTGCACGTGTTCAGTCACGCGTGTACGTGTGGATGTCTGTTCACGATATAGATGTGTTCACCACTAGATTTAAGAATTTTTAAACGATATGGAAGATAAAACTGCGCATCAACTAATCCTGTTTAACTGGTTTACAAACAATTTTGATGCTTAAAATTAGACGGTGAACGGAAAATTTCCAGAATAACCCAGGAAAAAGGTCCAACTGTAAATTTATAACAGCGTGCTAACTGCAATCATGTGACCTTATAATCATTAATCATCTTTGTTATGGGTCGATTATGAGTGTTCGTTATGAGGAAAGAGCACCTTTTTATCACGTACTGTGTTTAAGATCTCTGCTAGAATGTTAGAGTAGTATGATGATATGATACCTAACCCCCCTCCCTTTCAGCCCCAGAACAGTATCCCAGATGTGATAATCTGGATGTTGTGTGGAAACAGAAGAGTGGCTTACCACAGAATTCCCTCTCACCAAGTCATGTTCTCTCCCAAACAAGACTGCTGCGGAAAACTGTGTGGTCATGTGTTCAGTGTCTTCCTGAAGAGGCCCTCAGTTCCGGACAAGAGCAACGCTAAGAGGCAGTGGAAACTACCCGCCAAACTACAAGTGTTTGTGTGGATGGGTCTAGAGGACCATGCCAAGGGGATCCAACACAAACCACTTGATGGTGAGATCTCTGTGTTCGCTGAGACCTACGAGAACATGATCTCACTTCTCAGCAAGTGGACTACCAGAGCCATGCCTAGACCTAAGTGGTCTGATATCACCGGACAGTTGAAGCTGCCCAAGGAGTCCTTTACTACTCCTGGTGGTTGGAGATGGGCTGGAGAATGGTTCATCAACCCTAACCTCAGGTAAGCTACTCTAACCTATTAAATAAGTATAAACTCGCTTGATATTCCACATTTATGTCCCGAAAATAAACCCTCGGCTAGAAACTAAGGAATTGAATCAGCAGAATGATCAGATAGCTTCACTAACTCTGACACTGCTAAGTGCTAATCCTGACTCCCTACCCAGTTTGAGCTACGACCTAGACAGCGGACTGAGCTCCTTCCAAGATGACGTGTTTGAGAACCAACTGAGAGTGCCAGGAAGTGACTGGCCCACCAGCAAGCTCTTCTGGACCGATGTAACGGGAGAAGAAGCACAGAGCAAGGAGGACATCATGTGCCCGGCTGGTTGGGAGTGGACTGATATCTGGACTGTGGATCTCAACAGAGCTGTAGATGAGGAGGGGTACGAGTACTGTTTGGACCAGAGTGTCGGAGGATTTGTACCAGTTGAAAAGACCTACCATCTGTGTAGGAGAAGGAGATGGGTTCGTACCAGGAAGAGGAACCCTGATCTCAGACAACAGGCCGCACACGTGAGTTTTTTAATTTATTTTCCGCACTTTTTTTAATCGATGATTTTAGATAATATGGCCTCTGTTCTGTTACTCTTTTTTATTGTTAATATTCTCACATATATCAGTTCAAGTCGTTAAGTTTTCGCAAGAGAAAGTATCAGGTTCATTATAAGAACAGTATCGGGTTTTAATTCGGGCTTGTTGTTGAGTTTTTCAAATTCTGTTGAGTTTTTCTACCCCTGGGAGTCTGATAATATAGAATACAACACGTCCGGCTCAGAGCTGACCCACTTTCCCCCAGCAACGAATGGTTCGAGCAGCTGAGGAAGGCTGGGAGTACTCCAGACTCTTCACCACCAAGTTCCACCTGAAGCAGCGCACCATGGATATGGTGAGGAGGAGGAGATGGCACAGGAAGATGGTTGCTGATAACCCAGATGCTGATGCTATCTTCATCATAGATCCTACTAGTGATGTACACGAGGTAAGCGCTTGTTTCTGGACTCTTATTATCCCTCTGATACTCTTCAATTCTGCATTCTTTACTCGACTCAATACTTAAGTCCTGAAAACCTCGAATTTTTGACTTCAAAATCTATCTTCTCCTAGAGTTTTTATCCATTTCACCTCAAATTTGGAACTTATGTTCCTGACATAAATTTAAAAGTTTGTTATGTAACGATTGTTGTAATTTTGATCCTAACTCTTATTATGAGGTTAACCATTTTAAATTTTGTAACCCGCACTCATGGTTAACCTCATATCTCAGCTTTGGAGCAAGATATCATAAATCGTTACATAACAAAAACTCAAAATACCTTGAAGAACATTGTTGCCAAGTTACAAGGTTCTAAGTCATAAACTGAAAAAGAAGATAGATTTTGAACACGATTTCATTTAAAGTTTTCATTTACAATAGAATTACAGGTAAACCTCAAAATTCAACGCGCGATATCTTCAAATAGGAAACTTTGTTTTCGGTAAGGACAAAAGCATTTGAAAATTTAGATCGAGCTCTACAACATATCTCAAAATCTCAAAATCGACCTCGGACCCCCCCCCTGTGGCCTTAAGTTTATCTTTATGATAGGGCACTGGGCCAGTGGAAAAACCAGGCCCACTGAAGACGTTAATTTCAAATCCATACGATTTGCTCGATGTAAGTTGATCTGGTTCGGCCGCTAACACAACGGTGCTACATCGGGGCTGATATTTCAATGGGGCTGTTAATTGCTCAAAATTATAATCATAGCCCAATTTTTATATTCTTACAGCTTGTCCAGAACAAAAGATAAGTTATATTTCGTTCAAATTGTGGCGATTTCTAAATTATAGACCACAAAAATGGTTAACAAAACAATTTGTAGATTTCAGTGCATTAAAAACTTGCTGTTATCAAATATTGAACTAGTTTACATAGTTCCTTTAAATCAAATGTTCATTAAACACTATAAATAAAATAATTGGATAATTGAACTAATTGGTCGATTGAAGGAATGTGAGTTAACTCTGAACATTGCTTAGACTATTGGTGCGAGTCGGGCTCGGTCCCCTGCCAGAGGTAAAGAAGACGACCACCTACAGCAGCGCACCATGATAACACCGACTGTTTTCTTAACTTACAAAGGTACAAACCAGGGGACTAGTGCAGTAAGGCGGGGACCACGTGACGTCATCACGATGACGTCACGCTGTCCCCCTCCTTGCCACGCACCTCCCCCTACACTCTCATCTACACTCTCACACATCTCATTTCTAGACCAAAGAGGAAAAAGAGGGCAGTCGTAAGGATAGTACGGGTGCCGAGAAGCCGTTCTTGCCGAAAGTTCAGGCCCCCAGAATGTTTATTACATTCAAAGGTTTGGTGGCGTTGTTACCAGTGTGCTGATATCTGCTGCACGCCGCGGTTAACCTGTCCACAGTGTCCACAGCCTGTCCACATTGTCATCTCCTGTAATAAGGTCCATAGTAAAACTTGACCATAGTATGGACCATATCATGGTCCACATTATGTAGCCTACCATAGCACTGTATAATTGATGTTCATACAATTCAGTTTCTTCATATTCTTATTGATTGGTCTTATTAGTGGCCCCTGTTGAATCGTAAATTAGTTTGAACAAGGCTATTTGGCCTATTGTCGATATTGTACACTTGGCTCACTTCCAAAACGTCGCTGCTACAACTTTTGCTCTATCGTTATCATAGCATGATTTGATTCGACATAATTGAGCTGTTTTTGGTGTGAAAATTTTCCCTCCTTTGTAAGTTTTGTTTTGACGTCAAAAATCCCGTTACTTGGTCCGAATTCCGATGTAAATATGTAAAATACCTCGTCTCTTTGTGTTTTTTCAAACGATATCCGTTTTGTCGCACGTCTGGATGATTTGTCTTTTGTCTTCACATTCCTCACTGTCCTCCCTGTAAATGCGCATCCCATGTTGTCCTTTATATGAATTTGTTGCTATCCTTGGTTCAATATTTTCGCTGCGTTTAAAGTTATTTAATTTGCATCTAGGATTCCCCCTTATTAATAGTGATGAGATCTGTGAAATGAATAAGAAAGAAGAACTCAAAAATTCATTCACTTCTCATTTCCTCCCCACAGAATTAAACTATAAATATTTTGACCCTGAGTAGTTTTTCAATGTTGTGTCCATGTTGACCTTAAAGCATGCTGTGCATTCTCCCCTAACCCTCATCTTCTCTCTAGAGCCCCATACCTACCAGCTGCGAGCCTACATCTATCAAGCTAGAGATCTGTTCAGTGCTGACCCCTCGGGTCTATCCGACCCGTACGCTAGGGTTGTCTTCTCAAGACAGAGTCAAAGAACTAAAATCCTAAATGAGACTCTCTGCCCCACATGGGACCAGACCTTGGTGTTTGAGGAGGTCGAGTTCTACGGGAACCCGACCATGTTGGCAGAGAGTCCTCCCATCGTTGTGGTAGAGCTCTTCGACTACGATACTGTGGTGAGATTAAAAAATTTGTTAAAAATTTGGTGTCCTTCCTTTCTATCACATTCTGTGTGTTTTAGATAAATGACAATGTGTCTACTTGCTTATTGCGCTGTTTTAACATTGATAGCAATAACATCCTCCGTTACTCCCGCAGTTAGTATCATAAATATTATTTCCTTACCACCCACCTCTGACCCTGCAGGGATCTGACTTCTTGGGGCGAGCGATAGCTACCCCCATAGTCAAACTAGGGGGTGAGCACCAAATGGCGAAGTTGAACTGGCACCCCATAACCCGGGGTGGCGAACCTGCAGGTGAATTGTTAGGAGCGTTTGAGCTGTACCTGAACGAGGGAGCAGAGCTACCTTTCATGCCACCTACCAGAGGAGACGTATACCAGGTTCCTAGTGGAATCAGACCTGTCATGCAGCTCACTAGAATAGAGGTACGGGTCTTGTTACCATGGTGATATTATGAGTTTCATTGAAACGCAGTTATTAATGTGTTGTCTAATCTCAGGACAATAAATATAGATAGAAATTATCAAATTACATTTAAAAACTCACATAAACAAAGTTATTCAACTGTCGAAACACGCCGAGTTTGTCCTTCTGCTTAATACTGATTAAAACAACCCAGGTGCTGACTTGGGGTGTACGACACATGAAGAAGTTCCAGCTAGCAGCCGTCAATTCTCCTAGTATTGAGATAGAGTGTGGTGGTGTGGTACTCTCCACAATCAAAATCAAGAACGCTAAGAAGAACCCCAACTTCGACACATCCTCTATGCTGTTTGATGTGGTAAGTTTCCTTCTTCCTTTGTATTTCGCTCTGAAGAACATGATGCCTAGAAGAAGTCTTCAGTTTAAATGGTGTCTTTGAGTCGTTAGATATCTCTTGATCACTGACTCTCTTGATACATACACAGTATCTATAATACTGACTGTCACCTTCACAGTTCCTGCCGGTAGAGGAGCTGTACACACCTCCTCTCAACATCCGACTGCTGGACCACAGATCCTTCGGAGTGAAGCCTCTAGTTGGTACCCACATGATCAAGTCTCTCCAGGAGTACAGACGTGACCCTGTTGCTATGGTACAGACTATCAGAGAGAAAATGTTGGAGTCAGGTGAGATGCACATCCTTCACTTTCACTTTCACTTCCACTTTCACTTTCACTTTCAACAGGCAGTGTTCCGATAAACCCCCTCGAGTTTATTATCAATATTGTTAAATAGTTTGTTGTGATTTTTGATGTTATGGTTATGCTCTGGTGGTGGAGGAGGGATGTTAGCCACCTCGTCCACCCTCCGACTCCTCCTGATACCCTTGAGAAGGAGCACGAACACTGTGAACACCAGCACTGTTACCACTACTGAGAATACCAGCCAGAATACCCACTTCTTCTTCATGCAACACTCGTAGTCACAACAGTAGCTCTCATCCTGCGAGTGGGATGTTACAGCCGGCATTATTTATTAGGATATAGTATAGGACCAACGTGTGAAACTTCGATTAATAAGACAAGAACATTGTTACAATTAATTACGACAGTTGCTCAGAACGATAGCTTCAGTTGAGATTAGTAAGAGTCGACATGAGAGGTTCATGGTTGTTACTTGGTAAACTGTTTAGACAATTTGACCTAATACAGGGGTTAAATTCTATAAATAAAACCCACCATAGCTATACCATCTTAACTAAATAGTGGTGATAATTATAACGACAGCAGTGGTGGTTTACCTTGCAGCAGACAGCAGACAGCTGGTTCTGACACCCAGTAAGGTTAACACAGCTAGTGATACCCTCCTCACTCCGACTACAGGATCCCACCATACTCTCCTGGCACACTCCGTTGATGTTGTAACAGCAGAAGCTGGAGTAGAAACATCCTGCGCTCTGGAAACAGGATTTGTTTGCGTTGAAGATGGCTAGCTGGACCATCCATGCAGCGTGGGGTGGAGGAACGATTATGAAGTAGCTAGGTAGAGGGTTTCTAGTAGAGCTGTAGAGGGGTAGATGGGGTAGAGGGGATAGAGGGGGTAGATTCAGGAGCTAGCTAAGCTACACCTTGTGTTACAATAGAGAGGTGTGGAGGTCAGGAACTGAGTCCAGTACCACGCATCCTGTTAGGGGTTAAGTTAATTTACTGATAAATAAAGGTTAAACTAAGGTTTGACAATACGACAACTACAAGCTCGTCGGCGTGAGACTTGACGACGTGGGATTTGTCGGCGCAAAAAATGTGGGTTTAGGTTGGGTTCGTTTATGAGAATTATTCTCACCCTAACCCTAATTGTTTGCGCCGACAAATTCCACGCCGTCCAGTCTCACCTCGACTAGTTTTGGACCAGAAAATGCAATTTGCGCATAATGAAAGTTCGAAATACTGAGAATGTAATTTACCATTTAGGTAACCCATCAATAATAGATTGCAGGCGGTACAGTTAAGGGGGCCGGGGGGGGTCTTCATCAAAATTCTCTCGAAATCGACTTTATAGTTGTTTCTGATAGAGGGGAGTGATATCTATCAGCTGCTTTTAGTCCCATGGAAAAATATTGTTCCTAGCCGAAATTATCGCTGGTCAAAGGTCAGCGCTTATGTGTACATGTATTGCGCGAGCGATTTTCAATCGCGCGTTCTGAAAATCGAGTCTAAAAATCTATCTTCTCCTACATTTTTTTGAGCAATCACCCTCAAACTTTCAGGATATGTTCTTAGGATCAGTTAGAAGAGAACTCTAGAGCCAGAATTTTGAGATAGGCCTTTAAAGATTTTTAATTTGATTTTGAAATTCTTGGATCTCTAAAAATCAAGGTCCAAGAATTTCAAAATCAAATTAATTATCCTGAAAGTTTGAGGGTGATTGCTCAAAAAATGTAGGAGAAGATAGATTTTTAGACTCGATTTTCAGAACGCGCGATTGAAAATCGCTCGCGCAATACAATTACACATAAGCGCTGACCTTTGACCAGCGATAATTTCGGCTAGGAACAATATTTTTCCATGGGACCAAAAGCAGCTGATAGATATCACTCTCCTCTATCAGAAACAACTATAAAGTCGATTTCGAGAGAATTTTGATGAAGACCCCCCCGGCCCCCTTAACGAAACAAATGATTGGCGAGAGCAAATCGCATTAAACAACATGTCGCAATATGTGGTAATTATAACAATTCCGCTAGTTGATTGGGCACTAGAGCGGAACATACCTGTACTTGTAAATGGGTTTATAAGGGGTTTATGAGAGATTGATGCATGTTGGTACCTTGGGCACTTGTTCTAACTTAAAGAACGAAACAACTACCATATTATTACGTAATACGTTCATTAGCATAGACATTAGACGTCTAGTACCCACGTCTATTTTTACATTCAAATAAGTGACCGACTGCACGTAAGTTACCATTAACATCACTATCGAGAATATTCAAACAATCTGTGCTGAGTATAACATTATTATTCAGTATTATGTCATAATATTATACTTAATATCGTCCGACAATAATACATCAAATGCAATGTAGTCACAGCGGTAAGTCTAACCTTTAGATAAATTCTACCTCATACCTACAGTTACCTTCATAATCAACACAGTAATGAAAATGAACATCACTCTGTGCAATATGTTGCGAGACCGCGAAATTCATAGAAAGTAAGCAAACATGAATAGGTCGTGATTGGGATATGAATCATGATGATGAATCGTGCAGTGTACAGACCACCATATTATTCCAGCTGTTATATCTCCCCAGCCAATTGCAATCGGAGCCCAGTTCGGTTGCTGTGACAACGTTGCTTGAAGTGTGTCACGTGATATGACAATTACTCCACAGCTTTACTAGCACATCACAACATTGTAACTTCACAGATATTTAACTGAGGTAAACAGAGAACACATTACTTATATCTGAACAGTACACCTTAGCTCTCGACTACTGCACACACGCACTAAAATTGCCCTTAATTCCAGGTTTTGGAGATGCTGAGTACGCTATTGACATGGACTTTGCGGATCCTGCTGCCACAGCAGAGCACCAACCTGTGAGTAGATCTTCCTTTTTAAGATCTGGAGGAAAACGGTTGAAAGCCGAGGTTTTTAAATAATTACTTGTAAAGCTTAATGAGCAACTCAAAATACTAAGCTGCACTGGTTTGAGAGAAACTGTTTCAGTCAAATGTACTAAGCTATGGGTGGGTTATCTGGTCCTAGACGGAATATTATAGTATCTACCTAGCACTAATTCAACTACTTCCAACACTTATTAACGTTAAGTTTAGCCACCCCACCCTCCAGTTTACAATACTGATTTTGGTGAATTGAACATAGCTTGTCCAAAGTGGAACTGTTTGGCAGGACAGCCCTATTTGGTCTAGTTGAGTAGTAAACAGTTTCGGAACGTATCATGAACTACACTAAGCCTTAAATACCGTAAATATCGAGTTCTGAGGTTTAGACCAACAAGTAACTATATAATTACATGCTCTGTAATGACCCATCCACCAATACGAGCAGCAACTAGAGGTTAAACTGCCTCCGTTTATCGAACATATCAAACGTTTATCGTAACATTTGGTGGTACAGATCATATTATAGGGATTTAATAATGTTAGACATTAAAGATGCAATATGTAACCAGCACTACTGTTACCATGGTAACATGTTACCATGGTAACATGTTACCCTGGCTACTGTTACATTTGTAACATGTAACCCTGGCAACTGTTACATTTGTAACATGTAACCCTTGCTACTGTTACATTTGTAACATGTAACCCTTGCTACTGTTACATTTGTAACATGTAACCCTGGCTACTGTTACATTTGTAACATGTAACCCTGGCTACTGTTACAGCCTGCTACCAGTACCTCAAGCGAGGAGGGAGAGTTTAAAGAGGATGTTGACTGGTGGAGTAAATACTACAGTTCCAGTGGAAACGAGCAGCTCGGCAGAGTAAGTAACTTTAATCAGCAAACTGTTTAATTATTAAACTTATTTTTTAATTTTTATTAGTCACCTCAATGCTACAAACCTAAAAATGTTGGCATGGTTCAAAGTTCAAACCATCACAAAATCTTTTAATTTGAAGGAATATTTAGCACATTATTCTATAATGTTTAACGTGCGTGTATTAAGACGTTTCTCAGCTTTATAAAGAATCTCCCATCCTAAGGTTTACCGAGAGAAGGGATACGAGAACATGGTGGTGTTCGAGGAGGAGTTAGAGAACTACTTCGACAACTTCACAGATCTAGCTCAGAGCTTCCCTCTCTTCCATGGAAAGAGACACGAAGACGAGGATCTTGATGAGGACAAGGCTGTCGGCTACTTCAAGGTACGCCGTACGAGATACGAGTCTGGCTTATTACTGAGCACTGAATCTGAGGACAAATTTCTTTTATAAGATTACATTGTTAGAAAATTGTAAGAATTAACTGTTAACCTTCTTCTTTCTCTCAGGGAACCTTCAGAGTGTATCCCCTACCTGCAGATGGTAGTGACCCCCCACCGAGGATGTTGAAGAATGTCCCGTGTAACCAGCTTGTTGAGGTTCTGGTCCGAGTTTACATCGTGAAAGCGTTTGAGCTCCAGCCTCAGGATCCCAATGGTCTGAGTGACCCCTACCTGGCCCTCAAACTGGGTCGGTTCAAAGTAAAGGACCGTGAGAACTACGTGCCCAAGAACTTGTCCCCAACATTTGGTAAAATGTTCGAGTTAGACGGCACTCTGCCTCTTGAGAGTGAACTGAGAGTGCAGATATTCGACTACGATCTTCTGTCTGGAGATGATCTGATCGGCGAGACTAAGATTGATCTGGAGAACAGGTTCCTCAGTGCTAGAAGAGGGGTGTGTGGCCTCCCCAAACGATACTACGTGTAAGTAACTCTCTTTATAACTTATCTATAATTTATCTGATGTAAAGTGTGAAAGGTTAAATTATCAAATAATGTGACTTACATTGGTTTGTCAAACTAGAACACTTTTATTTATCAAGATATAGTCCATTCTGATCCATATGCATTCTAATGCGACTTTTTAATCGTTATCTTGATTCCCAACCTACAGAGCGGGACCCTACAAGTGGAGAGATGCAGAACTGCCCCGACAGATACTGGAGAAATGGTGTGCTACCCAGGCCCTACCACCTCCTGTTTGGAGAGGAAACAGTCAGGTCTACGTTAACGGCAAAACCTGCTGCCTACGAGACTACGGTTAGTTCTGAAAACACTGTATTAATCGTGGAGGAAACGAACTAAGAAACATATTCGTTAGATTGAGCTGAGAACACGGAATGTCCTTGTTTGTGTAAATCATGCACAGCAAACCTCGGCGGTTTTCACAGAAAATAAAGCAATGTATACAGCTTCAACCTGTGACAAGTGACATCGCGTGACCTCCACAACACAATCACGGAAATTTGTTTCTGCTGAAAGAATATCATCCTGATTTATTGGTTTTTTGATTGCTTGCGACAAAGATCGCACAAACACTCCTTCTAATTTTATTCACTGTCACGGCAAACACTGCACACATACTTAACTAGCAATCCTATCAGTAAATGAGAAAGTCGGGGAAAGAAATGATCACGTGATTATAAAGTTCTGCCAAACAAAACATAGTTGCAAAAACTAGTGGTTATAGAAATATGTAGCATAATCGGAGTGGTTAGATGATCAGACTGCTGGTTTTGTAATATTATTATCGCGATAAACCCGCCGCTCTTTTACAAAAGTTAATAACCCACCCTAGCAAATTACTAACCCTATCCCCACACTCCACAGAGACGAGAGGACAGGTACACAAGGATTGGGGACCCCCCGAGGAGAGGCTTGCTCTTTACACCCTCCTGGACTTGGGTCTAGTCCCTGAGCACATTGAGACCAGAACTCTGTACAACCCTCTCCGACCTGAGATACCTCAGGGAAAGATACAGATCTTCGTTGATATATTCCCCAAGTCTGCCACTATACCCCCTCCCATTAACATCACTCCTAGAGCGCCTCAAGAGTAAGTCATCATCCTATTTTTGTTTGCCTTTATCAAACCGTTATGTTCAGACTCATGAAGTGATTTTTCGTATTATCTAATTTCTTAGATTTTACAATAATTGCAGTGTAAATTATTGCTATAGATTTAAGCGTATTTGTAACGACGTGTTTCCTTAGTCTGCAACTGAGAGTGATCGTGTACAACGTCCAAGATGTGCTGCTATCAGATACCAGCTTCACTGGAGAGAAGATGAGCGACATCTATGTCAAGGGGTACGGAGTATATTAACATTTTAATTATTTACTTAATGGTCAGACTCAAACTAATTTCTCCTCCGTTTTATTAAATAGAACCGTTGATTAATCTGTATACTAAATTATTCTGCTACCAGGTGGCTGAAAGGACAAGATAAGAAACAGAAGACAGATGTACATTACCGATCGCTGAACGGTGAGGGTAACTTCAACTGGAGATACGTATTCCCATTCAAGTACCTCCCAGCTGAGGAAGTGATGGTTATCAAGAAGAAGGAGCACTTCTTCTCCCTGGACAAGCACGAGGAGAAACACCCCGTAACCTTCGTCTGTCAGATTTGGGATAACGACATCTTCACTCCGGACGACTTTTTAGGTCAGTAAATGGACTCTAGATCTTATCTGATAAAATGTGTATATTGTGACGATCCGTGTTCTTACTACCAAAGATTACTCTTATTATCTAAAACACCCCTTCTCACCAGGATTATTGGAACTCAACTTGAACTTCATGCCTAAAGCCAACAAGTTCGCAAAGAGTGTTTCTCTAGATGATCTCCCGGATAACGAGAAAGGAAAACCTGTACCCATGGTTTCACTATTCGACCAGAAGAACGTGAAGGGATGGTGGCCACTGTACGAAGAGGGTGGCCCTGACACGCCTCGTGAACTTACAGTGAGTAACCACTGAATTCATAGTAACCGTAGTAACCACAGATGTAACCTGGTGTAATTTTATTGTCGAATGATTGTCTGCAATTTTACCTGAGAATCCTCTAACTTGGTGTTCCACACAGGGAAAGGTAGAGATGGAGTTGGAGATCCTGTCGAAGGAGGACTCCGAAGCTAAACCAGCTGGTAAAGGTCAGGAGGAGCCCAACGAGAACCCGCATCTCGACCCACCCAAGTAAGATTAAACTTCATTTATAGACTCAAGTATTTGAGTCAAGATTTATTATTAAATATTGAACTTTGATATTATAGATATAATGTTGTTTTAATTCATTAATTTTTGAAGCCTTTAGTAAAAAGATATATTTTATATGCAAAAATTTGAGTTTGACCGCAACTGAATTCCCCTACTAAACCTTCAATTTCCTCAGTCGACCAGCAACCTCCTTCCTGTGGTTCACGTCACCGTGGAAATCACTGAGGTACATCATCTGGAACAGCTACAAGTGGTACATCCTCATAGGTTTTATTATACTCCTGGTTGTCGCAATGGTTGGTCTCTTCATCTACTCAGCTCCGGTAAGTTTAGTCAATAGATGACGGTTATAATAACATAAACCCGCCACGCAAAGGGTTTATATAACAGATCATCCCGCGCTAGCGGGATGATCTGATAAACACATACGAGTGCGCGCAGCGCACGAGTTTTGTGTTAATATGTAATCCCGAAGCGCCAGCTGAGGGATTACATTTATTTAGCCCTGAGCGTGAAGTGTTTATGGATTATAATTATCTCCGGCGATTTCGACAAGGGATTCTAACTGTACTGTCTGGAACACGATTGGAAAGCAGTTCATCAATCTGAATGTCAAACCGATCTGTCATAGTGGAGCAATAGCTTGAACGTTAGCAGGAACAAGAGCTGGAAGGAGAGCAAGCAAAACAATACTATTTTTAGGGCACGGACAAGGGTAGCTGGCTAGTCGCCAACTTCTCACGCCACGCGTTGGAGAAATTCCAAGAATTAGCTGCTTTGGCAACGTTCCCAGTAATTTGCGTGTAAAAGAAGTGGACGGTTACGATGTTTCATATCACGTGGTGCGCTTTCGTGTCACGTGGTATAGACTCGGCGTATGCTATTGGTGGCACGTGGTACGCACGTGACGCGCCCACGTGATCGCGCGTCTAACTGTTCTACTATTATCGAGTTCTAATCAGCAGTATCATTGATTATTGTAAGTCGGAGAATTGAATGATAAACATCAGTTACGACTAAAAAGCGGGCCGGGTTTATACAAATTTCCGGGGCGGGATGATATCACCTTGAGATGTTTATCTAACAGCGGGCCGGGCTGAGTGATAATATGATCCCGCGTCGAAATCCCGGAGATATTTATAATTTGGAGGTTGTGCAAATATTTTGACAGTGAGCATTGACTAATGAAATGCCAGAATCACTTGTCAAAACAATCCCGCCACCCCCAACCATGACCCACGTTTGTAATATAATAATTCCTTCATTTATTGACAAATCTAAACGTATGCATGTATTATTTTCTCTCCCTCCAATCAACTCAAGAACTCGTTTATACTTGATAAGTTTTAATCTGTATTATAATGAAATTCACCGCATGGTTTTCCAGGGAGCACTATCTCAAAAACTGATCGCGAAGTTGTGAGGATATTCCTACTAGAGACTATCTAAAAAAAGCATGAGATTCAGGACTGTGGAATGCATGCAATACGTTTCCACGTGCAAAACGTGATCTATGCGCGTGTCCGCGTGCAAAATGTGTTCTCATGCATCCCATGAACCACTCAAGTAAAACTTTTTGTAATTCTGAACTGAAACCTAATTTTAATTTATTTTATTTGTTTTAGAGCTCGATTATGAGGAAAATAGTTGGCGCTGGCAAATGATGAGTCTATCACATGACATTTCAACTGCTACTGACTGCACCCTCGCTACACGCTGCGCTTTTCTTTGTTTTCATATATCGTTTGTTCGTGATCTTTTGTGCGTGTGTAAATTTTGATACTTTTTAAAAATAGCTGCATTGCCTGTCGGAGTTCTAAGTCAGTACCATGGTTACCAATGTCCCACGTGGTTTCCATGGTTACATATGCCCATCACTTGGGGCTGGCTTAGATCGCTTACGGAGTGTCCTTCAGTTCGGCGGTAATCTTGAGCGCCGACTGGTAATACTCGTCTGTAGTGCTATGCGTGTAATGTGTTATTTAAGTTAATCTCATAATGACATCAAAAACTGCTGTTATGTAAATAATTTAAGACATTGACGTTATGACCTGTAAATAAAACGCATGCTTTCAAGCTGGACTTGAAATCACGAAACACTAGCAATTCTCCAACAGAACGAGAAAATTGTTGTCATTTCGTTCAACCTTACTGATTCTGATATCGTGTTCTGTTAAATGTATTCAATATGACAGTTATTGATGATGTGATTTTTGACCGGACAAAATAATGATATTGAAGTAGTATTTATATAAAAGTTAGCTCATGCAGTATTTATTTCAGTCATTTTTTAGATATTTGTATATTTGTCTACTGTTGCATGATAATGTAGAAATTTTATATGTTGTCAAAATGAGCTCAATTGCAAAGAATAATCATGTATTTATTTAAATTCTGCAAAATTGCTGTCCACAATCACTTATTTTAATAGGACTGCAAACTTTTCGCTTTGACTTTTGATATTCATAATCAATTAAAATTAAGTTATTTAAGTTTTAATTGCATTTTATTCGTTTGTAAATTGTGTTGTATTTCAAAATATCTTGCTATATGCTGCTGTATTTTAATTTCAATTGAATCATTCCACATATGCTCCAAATTAACGTGTCTTTATTTTTACAAAAATTAATATACCCAATAACGAATACGTATGTCCCTTTTAGTTTTGGAATTACTAGACTGGGCGGCGCTCAGTCTAGTATGGATATTTTTTGATGCTATAAAAACTGACTACCAAAGAATACTATTGGCGTCCTCCCTGCGACCACGGGCTTTCTAGTCCTACTTATAATTCAATGAATCATGTTTGTCTGTCTGTACGACCGCCCACGTGCAAATCAGATGAGAAATAGGAAGTTGCATAGTAACCATGGTATTGGTAATGGTAACGAGGGTTATTACACCTTTACACGCACGTGCACAGATTGTTGGAATGGCATTTTGATCGTTTTTGTTGTTATTACGACTACGTTGTGTTCAGTGCGAGCTACATTTTAATTAGTTGTATCTTCGGTTGTATAATTGTGATGTATATTTTTTGATTCGATAAAAACTGACTGCCAAATAAATAGAAAACTACTAGATTCATCCCTTTTACCACGGGCTTTCTAGTCTATAATTATATTATAATTCGAAAGATTATGTTTGTCTGTCTGTGAGAAATAGGAAGCTGCATAATAACCATGAACCATGGTAACGGTGTTCAAATAGGTAGTGCGCCATCAACAGTGTAGTGAGCCGCGCGTGCCGACTGTAGGATTGAGGATGGTTTTTTAGCGCTAATTTCGGCCAGCACAATTTTCTTCAAACAAATAGATATTGAGTATCCTTCCCGACCTCCGATTGCAACAAAAATTGGTAAGCTTACTCATAGACTTACAAGGAATGTGTCCGAAAAATTTAAAGCATAACCAACCGTTAGACATTATGTTACAGCTAAAAGCAGCGTATTTTGCCCCATTTTGATCACTATGCTATATCATATATCAACTCCGATATCCACCAAATTTTTCGGACAGTTGTAAAAGCCCTATTGGAAGGTCGTCGCCAATTTTCAGAATGATCTCATTCAAGGAACCGAAAACATTATATCCGAATAATACGACAAAAATCAACGAATTTGGTCAAATTACGCGACTTTTACAGCTAATTTTGCTCCAAAAGCCGCGCACCATCAAATATGGCACCTAGGCGAAACTCACTGATCTTTCAAAAAAGGTATAACAAATTTGGTATTGTGAAAATTCTCAAAGTCTCTAGAAAACAACGCGAACGGTACAAAATTTTTAAAAATCTGAGCAAGTTTATTTATATCGTGTTGACCATCATGTTAAATATTGACGATGTCAATTCATCGCAGCTCGGCGCGGCACAATAGCGCATTTCGCCGATCTAGCGAGGAGAAGCCTCATTGAGTGCGCGGCGCTGCCCGGCACAGTAACGCATCGCGCTACAATGACCATTATTAATGGTCTGGCCCGGCGCACGCTACTTCGTAGCCGCTCCTAGTCCTAGTCCTACTAAATCGCTCGCCCAAATTTTAAGATTATTCTTGCGAAAAGACCCTTTTGGGCATGAAAGTGATTTAAGTCAGTGTATTTTTGGACCCTGATTCCGAATCACCCCCCATGACGTAGGGTTCGGTTAAAATGCTTCCCTGGAGAGTTATGGGCAAAAAACCTTTTTGGTCACGTGACAGGCTAGTAAAATACGAATTCGATTGTTTAGGGCTCGGGTTAGGGTTGTGTTAAGGGTTATACTTATGGTTAGGGTTGGGATTAGGGTTTATGTAAAACCGTTTTGTTCGGGTGCAAAACCATAAAAACCAAAGTCTCGTGATAATTTTTGGGCGAGCGATTTAGTAAGAGCCAATTATTGATTATACTTATAGGACATTAATCAAAACTTCAACATCAATTGCTTCTTCCTAAAACCCATCGGGCTGTCGTCAGGCCATTGGCATTGGCCCAGAACTCAAGTCCTCGTGTCGTAACCGGTCTATAGGCTAGGCACCAGGCACTGTAGATGCCTAGCCGTTAGTCTAGCTAGGCTGGAGCCTCAAATAAGCACGGAGGTCGGAGACTCGACACCTTGTGATAGTAGTAGTACTGATTAAAAACACATTTTCCGTTCTTAAGCACATCGATGGAGCAAGGATGGAGGAAGTAACTCTGAGCCAAATATAATTAAAGCAAAGGTTGCAGTTTATTTTGTACTTTGTGGTTTGATCAATCTCGTTCTTAAATACTCCCCATATTTTAGTGTAAACATGCAACATTGTAATATTCTTCTGTTGTTCAATTTAGTGGTCGCGTTTTATTTTTTATAGTCATACAGAAAAGACTCGTTATTTTGAATAATGATAAAAATAAGTAATAGTCAGTGTAATAAGCGCCATGAGTTAGGGATGATGATTAATCACTCTACACTCGACTGTCACGTGACTTTTTAAACACGTTCTCTTGGTGGCCCTGAATGACTATTCAAAATCATAGCCCTTTAATCTGATCCCAACCCTAACCCTAACCCAATCTTTAACAAAAGCATATGCTGAAACCCTAACCCTAACGAGAAATTAGACTAACTTCCGTATATGGTCATATCACGTGATCAAGACAGTTTTTCGCCAATATCTCGCTAGGGGAGCATTTTAACCCTATGTCATGGGGGGTGATTCGGAATCAGCGTCCGAAAATACATCGAATGATGTTGGTCTCAACTGTCGGGGGGCCTTTTAGAAAAATTTCGAAGATCGACTGTAGAGTGATTTAGCACGCTCGATGAGTTAGTTTATTTACGCTGTCTACAAATGGCATAAAATTATAACTTTAAAACATCAATTGATAGCACAGATTCAAATTTAAATATGATTACCAAATGTACGACCAAAATTAAGTGTAAAATAGTGAAATACTAGCAATGGGCTTATCTATTTTATCATATTTTTACATCAAAGAGGCTGGCAGGCAATAGCATTAGCTCCTAAAATGCTTTTAGAATCGATTATGATTATAATTAAAAACGTCCTTATATAAAGTTATTATGACGACGTACAAAGTTAAATATTTCAAACAATTTGTATGCGCGCCCAGCATTATCAGCTACAAAAATCATTTGCGATTAAATGTTTCCACCGTTTTCAAATAAAATATGAAGTATTATTAAATCTGAAATTCTCAACTTTGAAATTCTTCAATACACCATCCAGTACGGTAAAATAATAAATATTAACTTTATAATTAATTAATTATGGTATGAGATTTTTAGAGTCATCAGCGGGTGTGACAGGTGATGTACTTGTTCAGCAAAGTGCTTGACTTAGAAAAGTGTAGGTATTTGTCCAAGTGCTGTTTATAAAGCATAGCTAACTCAACGTGTTTGTCACCTTCAGATTGAAAACAACTGATCAGATCTTTAATACAGTCTGATATGTACCTGTAATGATAATAACACCGTTTAAAATTGAATAGTAAGACGGTGAAAGCAGGTTGCAGTGGGGAGGGAGGTGATGCAAAGTGGGGGTTTTATTTGTAGATCATCTGTATCATCTACAGTGATTTATCATTAATTGTTAAAAAGTGAAGCACCTCTCGGTCACTGTGTCATTACTGTATACTTTAAAAGTATCGATATTACTACACAGTATAACACATAAGGCTTCAAAATAGAATCAATAACACTAATTTAGAAAGTAAAGAACAAACCTCAGAACACAGGAACCCTCTTGAGGGACATGGTTAGCGAGAGTATACAGGAAGTTCCAGGACATATCTCTGCACACCTTGATTATAGGCCGACTGGGCTCCGAGGTGGCGCGCCGCACACGCCGCTCACTCGGCGTGTAGATGACGCGCTGCTGTATTGAGTAGGGAGTGGACAGGGTGGACTGTGGAGTGTTGGCGTTCGATCTGAAGGCGGTTAGTTATCAACACACTTTATTATACAATAAAGGTGAAAAGCAGCGTATAAATTTTCTAATCTACCAGGTTAAGACTCTGAAATGCCTTGACAAGAGACCAAGAGGAAAAAGTTTAAAAAACCAAAAGACCAATTGGCAATTGGCCAGTAAACAAGTCAAAGCATCAGTTACTGGACCAGAACTGGTCCGGTTCTAGTTTTGTAACATTGCGTCACGTGACATGAGTAGATATTGGATTGGGTGGTGGGTGTTGGTTAATGAATAACACTTCTGCTTATCGTAAGACTACCATATATCAGCCCTTACTATTATCTGTTTATGACTCCTACGAAAGTTTAATGCAAGATATGATGTATTATTTACATATAAACAAATAAGACTTACTGTGATGAAGGAGTTGGGAGTGCACACGGAGTGCCGTAAGTAGGGGTAACTAATCGGATAGGGGTGTAGGGTTCTATTCTCAAACGGTCCTGCTGATTTGGGGGTCGGTGTCTCTATGTGTCCTTCATTTCTCTGATTAGGTTCGTCTTCATTTGGGGGTTCCCCCTCATTTGGGGGTTCTTCATTATTTGAGAGCTGCCTTCTTATCGCTCCTTCATTTTGACCGTGTCCGTTTATCTCTCCTTCTTGTGAAGGACCTTCTTTAATTTGATTATCTGAACCATTAAATAATGTTATTCCGTAAAGACAATGATTTAGTATAACAGAATTTCTAAACAACATCAATTGAAAGTCTTAAATGTTAACTTTTAAAATTAATTGAACAGTCCTAATTGAAAGTAGCCATCAGAAAAAATAATTTCCAAAAAAAATGATTATATTGTTGTCTGACCTCAGAAAATAGGGCACATTATGATTAATTGGACATCGCTTGTAGATTACCTGGACCATTCTCTGCGACTTTAGAACTGTCAGTCTCGGTTATACACGATTCACTTGCTCTTGTAACACCGCTAATATTCGAAGAAATCTCAGAACTCTTGTTCTCTCGTTCCTCTCTGAAGAAAAATGTGACTGGGTAACAATGAGTAACCAGGGGTAACAATGAGTAACCAGGGGTAACAAGGAGTAACCAGGGGTAACAAGGAGTAACCAGGGGTAACAAGGAGTAACCAGAGGTAACAACAAAAAAGTTGGGGCCATCTCTGAAAGCTGCTATCAAAATAAAAGGTAAAACTAAAATGTAAAATGAAAAAAAAATGAGTTGGTGATAAGAAGAGTATTCTTAAAAACACTAACTCGTCATCAAGAATAATGCTATGCAGGGTCCTGATAGCAGATTCGGTGATATTACAATCCTTCTCCAGCCAGGCACACATCTCATCGGTAGCCTGAGAGGTGAGAAGAGTGCAGATTAGAGACAAACACACTGCCGTCAAACCGTGCTCGATCTTCTGTGACATCACTCTGTGCAGCACCTTAGGGAGACCTGGGCAGTGAAGCTTAGCGGTATCCGCATATTGATAAGGAAAAAGATACAGAACAAAGTGACAAGTACCTGGACACTGGGACATGTTGGTGACAGAACAAAGTGACAAGTACCTGGACACTGGGACATGTTGGTGACAGAACAAAGTGACAAGTACCTGGACACTGGGACATGTTGGTGACAGAACAAAGTGACAAGCACCTGGACACTGGGACATGTTGGTGACAGAACAAAGTGACAAGTAACTGAACACTGGGACATGTTGGTGACAGAACAAAGTGACAAGTACCTGGACACTGGGACATGTTGGTGACAGAACAAAGTGACAAGTACCTGGACACTGGGACATGTTGGTGACAGAACAAAGTGACAAGTACCTGGACACTGGGACATGTTGGTGACAGAACAAAGTGACAAGTACCTGGACACTGGGACATGTTGGTGACAGCCCGTTTCTCCTCACACAAGTACTGCAGACACCTCAAGAGAGGCTCCTCCAGACTCTGACTACTCCGGTTCTGGAGGATATCCACTATGGGGAACACGGTGTAGGCTGAGTTAGCGAGAAGTTGCTCATCTTGGTAGAAGAGAATCTCTAGCATCATGGCGCAGTGCTCCTTTAGTACTGACGCTCGTACACTCGTCATATTAAGCGTGCTCTAGATACAACACGTTTTATTGTTCTTTTAGTAAACGTGGTATTAAATTGGGACTGAACGAAATCACTAGCTCTCATCAGATCATCGATTGTTCTTCTCGTACTAAATTAAAAGTTTAAAAATCAACTAACTCCGAATTGTTGCGCTAAAGTCCCACTTAATGAACCTGGATAATGTGAATAAGACGCTCGACGGTGTCATCAGGGAGGACTCTGCGCCACCTGTCTGAGATGTCCGTCTCCAGAGCGAGAGCAGCTCTCAACAACCTGACTGTCTCCGTTAGAACGGACACGTCATCCTCCCTCAGCAGGGTCGGCACAAAAGTGCGCAGTGTGTCGTGCTCAGTCACTTCCTGGCACAATATGTTAGCAGTTAGAGCAGTTAGAGTTTGTAAGAACAGACAATTTAATGGTTCTTTTGCGATAGTCAAAACGCGACAACTAGCGCTGGATGGCGACAACTAGCGCTATCCAGCGCTAGTTGTCGCCATCCAGCGCTAGTTGTCGCTATCCAGCGCTGGATAACGCTGGCCAGTGCAAAATATATATGTTCGATAATTGTCGCTATCCAGCGCTAGTTGTCGCCATCCAGCGCTAGTTGTCGCCATCCAGCGCTAGTTGTCGCTATCCAGCGCTAGTTGTCGCTGGCTATGCGACACTGTCGCACGCGATAGTTTGCGATGGCCAGCGCAACTGGCCATCGCAGAAAACAGTTCGATAACTAGCGCTGGATAGCGACAACTAGCGCTGGATAGCGACAACTAGCGCTGGCCAGCGCTAAGCGATAGCCAGCGCTGGCCAGCGCTGGCCATCGATATCCAGCGCAAAATTTTTGCGCTATTACTCGTCAGCTAGCGCTGGCCAGCGCTAGCCAGCGCTAACCAGCGCTAGCCAGCGCTAACTAGCGCTAACCAGCGCTAACCAGCGCTAGCCAGCGCTAACCAGCGCTAGCCAGCACTAACCAGCGCTAACCAGCGCTAGCCAGCGCTAGCTGACGAATAATATCGCATTTATATTGCGCTCATGGCCAGCGCTGGCTGACGAGTAATACTAATATCGAGCGTGCTAAATCACTCTACAGTCGATCTTCGAGATTGTTCTAAAAGGGCCCCCGATGGTTGTAACCAACTTCAATCAACAATCAATGCAATGTATTTTCGGACGCTAATTCCGAATCAACTCCCATGACATAGGGTTAAAATGCTCTCCTGACGAGATATTGGCGAAAAACTGTATCGATCACGTGATATGACCGTATAAGGAAGTTAGTCTAATTTCTCGTTAGGGTTAGGGTTTCAGCATATTATGTTTTTGTTAAGGATTGGGTTAGGGTTAGGGTTGGGATCAGATTAGAGGGTTAGGGTTTAGAAAAGTCGTTCAGAACCAGCTAGAGTCAGAGAATGGGTTAAAAAAGTCACGTGACAGTCGAGTGTAAAGTGATTAATCATCATCCGAGTAATATCGCAAGTATATGATTTTGATACATTGCGCTGGCTAGCGCTGGCTAGCGCTGGTTAGCGCTGGCCAGCGCTGGTTAGCGCTGGTTAGCGCTGGCTAGCGCTGGCCAGCGCTAGCTGACGAGTAATAGCGCAAAAATTTTGTGCTGGATATCGATGGCCAGCGCTGGCCAGCGCTAGTTGTCGCTATCCAGCGCTAGTTATCGAACTGTTTTCTGCGATGGCCAGTTGCGCTGGCCATCGCAAACTATCGCGTGCGACAGTGTTGCATAGCCAGCGACAACTAGCGCTGGATAGCGACAACTAGCGCTGGATGGCGACAACTAGCGCTGGATGGCGACAACTAGCGCTGGATAGCGCTAGTTGTCGCCATCCAGCGCTAGTTGTCGCGTTTTGACTATCGCAAAAGAACCAATTTAATAGGTTATGATAATCTCACACTCGTTATTAATTAGCAGTGGTATTGATGAGCTGGGGGGGGGGGGGGGGGGGGGGGGGCGCCAACCTCATAAGTATACATAAATACCTATAGGGGGGGGTGGCCAACCTCATAAGTATACATAAATACCTATAGGGGGGGGGGGGGGGGGTGGCCAACCTCATAAGTATACATAAATACCTATAGGGGGGGGGGGGGGGGGGAGCCAAATAGAATAAAGTAGAATAAAGTAGAGTAGAATTCGCAAAAAAAAAGGATGACATTATACTTTCATCTACCTGAATCTATAAAACTTTGGGGGCCAACGTAGGATAAAGTAGAATAAAGTAGAATAAAGTAGAGTAGAATTCGCAAAAAAAATGGATGACATTATACTTTTATCTACCTTAATCTACAAAACGTTGCCCCCCCCCCCCCACCTATATATGTATTTTCCCAAAGATCGTCTTGGGCAGCTAAAAGTAATTTTTTGACGTTTCAGAAGATTTTGAGTGAAAAAATTTCATTTTTTGAAAAACATTTAAAATATAATTTGAAACATTACAGCAACATAATTCAAATCTCAAACAGAAAAAGTATATTTCAAAGTTTTGTGTTTTGATCATATGATCGTGGATGTATAGTGATTGATTACATAATTTTGAATATCCTGTCTCGGAGGTCGAGCCAATGCCCTGTGTTCGGTAATTGTGTCTACTGATATAGCCTTCATACTTTCGGCAGTATCCAGATAGCCCGACCCCTGTTCACGAACAACTGATCGCGAAAAACTGATCGCGAACAGTTGTTCGTGCCATACCAACTTTTGCGACAACGCATGATATACCAGATTCGAACTAGAGTGCGTGTCGAACTAGAAGTAGAGTGCGTGTCGAACTAGAATACGTGTACCATCTGACAAGTGACAATCAATAACAGCACTGATTTCACCTACTGCACGATTTCATAATCCATTGTTTGTCTAGTAGTGGTCAAGTTTATGCCTAGACTCTAGTGGCCAAGACGCCAAGTTAATGTCTAGTGGTCAAGTTTTATATGTCTAGTGATCAACTTTATGTCTATAGTCTATAGTGGTCAAGTTTTATATGTCTAGTGATCAACTTTATGTCTATAGTCTATAGTGGTCAAGTTTTAGGCTAACAAGGTTACGTCAGCAGGCGAGTGGGTTAAGAAATGCTTATGAAAGTGGATTCCTAGAAACCACTTTTCTCCTTGGTTCATGCTGGAAACTTCTTTTGTTCACGTTTCATGCTACCCTGATGCTATTGCAAGGACAATTTAGAATCGTGATTTAAGTTCGTTTAATGTGAAATTTTTATAAGTTGGTAAAATGGAGTACGTTTGAATTTGACAAAAGTCCGTACTTTTGATTATACAACGTGCAACACAAATTGGTTCATGAACAATGTTATATAATATTTGCTCCTTATCTCATCCGGTTTTCCGGGTAATGCCTAATTTTCATTTTAAAATAACACTGTTAAAAATGTACAACCTGGCAGCTTTAGCTACAATTTAACTGCAATTTAATATTGAATCTAAGAAAGTTTTATGTATCAAATTTAACCCCACTCTTGACCCCTGACCTTTAACTGGTAGTCAATTTAACCCAAAATGAGCAGAGAAAAAAAACTGCACCGACAAAGAATAGCACATTTTTTGGCAATGAAAGGTTGATTAAGGGGGGGGGTTCACCCTGATTTTTTTGTGAAACTTGGTTTCGAGATAGTAGTTGACCAACAAACTAGGACCAGTGACCGAACTTTTGAGGGAGTCCCGGACCCCAACCGCCAAACGGCAGCCACGCCCATATTTGGTCCAAATTAGGCCCAATTTAGCCAAATACCCTGAACAAATTTCAGAATTTGGCCGCCCAATTTTTTTAAAGGCCTAACTCAAAATTCTGTCCCAAAACTTAAGGTCATGAGGCAATTCTAAGTTGATTCTGAAAATTTCATGAAAAAATATTGAAACCCTATTGAGTTCTATTGTTTTGAGCGAAGTCAGTTTCGCAAATATTGCGAACTGAGATATGGGCGATTTTGTTCATTTTTTGCGATTATTTGAACACAGAATCCACAATTGGGTAGATATTGAGCTGACAATCATAGAGAATGTGTAGTTTAGGCTTAACTTTCATATAAAGTTGGTTTCATTCAAAAATATTGATATTTGACCAATTTATGGGCCAGAATCGATCAAATTAGGTGCGTATGCCCAAATATGGCATATGGTTTTTAGCTCAGTCATTTTTTATCCAATCTTGATGAAATTTCATATACTAGTTCGGGGGATCACTAGCTACAAGTAGAGCACCTAAAATCTGGGTTTTGGGCATGTTCAGGGTATTTGGCTAAATTGGGCCTAATTTGGACCAAATATGGGCGTGGCTGCCCCGCGGGCACCGTTTGGCGGTTGGGGTCCGGGACCCCCTCAAAAGTTCGGTCACCGGTCCTAGTTTGTTGGTCAACTGCTATCTCGAAACCAAGTTTCACAAAAAATCAGGGTGAACCCCCCCCCCCCCCCCCCTCAATTCAACCAAAACCGTGAACACATTCGTTGTGAAGTGTAAACAGCGAGTAAAGTAATTATTTATGCGTGGGTTATAGTGTGTTTCATCAGCTTATCTTACCTACAAATTAACTGAGAAATGATTTAAGGATTCGTGGTAAATGAAACAGCTCCCTCCATTAATTAACTAAATGAGTACATGTTCCTCACGTTAAAATATCACGCTCGTTTTTATTTAAATACAATAACTTTGATTTGGCATCCATTATTCCCAGAAATTTTTTCTTGGTGTTTAGATAATTTCTAAAAAACATGATGATCAGTCTACTGAGCTTGACTATAATTTGTGTTGTGCTTTATTCGTGCAATGCTGTCCGATACACAGTATGGGTGAAGACAAGCAACAGGAGACATGCGGGGACAGATGACGACATCATTATCATGCTTTTGGGAGATAACTGGGCCTATCTTGGGAGACTGGACGTAAAAGGAAGGGCCGACAATGACAGATATACTCTCCTTCCCTTCACATTCGACCATGATCACCCTAGCTGGCTTGTGGGGAGCCATTTAAATTGCATCACGCTGTTAACGAGTGGTGGCGACGCCTGGCTGGTGGAGTATGTAACTGTGAGTGTGAGTGTGAACTCATTATACAAAGTATTCTACAACACTGCCAACACAAGGCTGTCAACTGACTCCTCCGAGGGTCTCCAGAGTTTGCAACTCTGTTGATGCGTTTTGGGACACTACATAGCAGTTGAACCAGAAATTGATTTTATCTTTCAGTGCTGTATACTATGTAGACAAATTTTGAACTTTTATGAAGTTGTTTCCTTTGTTAATATCCACATCTACAATCAACATCTAGTCTAAAATAATGAAAATGTTTAAACATAAAATTGAATTAACTTTATAAAATTAAATTACCCTAAATTAATAAAATCAAATAAACTTCACAATAAACTTTTCATGCCAACGGCGTGTAAAATATTGACCTAAAACAAGTCCCACGGGTTCATCAGTAATAATTAATTGATCGACTAATGAAATTCGCTTACTGCGGAACTTAAACGTATCATTTGCTAACTTTTTGGAGAGGTTTCCTGATACCCCTCACTCTTGGAATGGCATCTACAAAAAATATTTGGAATGATTGGTCAAACTTACATAAAGTACCTAAAACTTAACTTCATCTAATCTTTTGAAATGAACTTCGCACCGAACTATTATTTTCCAACGTAGTACTAACAGTGAATGAATACGATCATAATACGTGTCAGTGCGAAATATTCATAAATTCACGGGTGTAAATTAGTAACCTGATCATAATGTCGACTGTTAAATGATAAATCTTAACTAAGTAAGGTAAATCACTTTTAGTACTTAACGTCAACCCTTACGTCACGCCACCTTACTCCAGTCCTTATGATAATGTTACTGCTCGGACTTTCTGCTTCGCTGATTTCACTGTAACCCTAAAGGGAAAAAAGAAAGAAAGGAAGGGCTGAAAGAGGAAACTAGTTATCTACTTTTGGACTGTCTTTGAAGTTAAGGGTTAGTCTGTAGATTTTATTAATGGTGCTGGTCGAGAGTTTGATCAAACTTACGTCCTCATCGCTGAGATTATCCATGCAATCGGGTTGCGAGATGAACGTGGAGGCAAGATTGAAGCTACCATTTCCGACATTTCCACTGAGGTTTTGAAATCTTTTTCATGACAAGATTTTTACTTGCAATTTTTTTATTAAACAATTTTTTTGGGAGTATTTTTAATTATTGTTCAAAATGTTCAGAAACGTCTATATAAGCAACCTTTTTCTAGTCTCAACTGTTCATAATCCTTTGATCAAATTAAAAACCCTATACAACCCAATACAAGTTTAAGGTACACAAAGGCAAAAAATCCAATTTTTCCCAACCCCAAAAATTGGTTGAATGCAATGAATATAATTTTTTTTTTTTTATTAAATACTTTTCAAACTTTACAGAGTACAGCAATTACAACGAATGAAATAAACTCGAATAAAATATTGCCCCCGTCTGTAAAATCTGTCGGGAGACCAAACACGGTACTGCACAGTAAAACGTGCCCGCAATTACATGGCCCCGATATGATTTTTTAAAATGTGAAACAAAATTGTGATAAAATAAATGTGTGGTGAAGAATGTGAAACAGTTCAAATTTCTTCAGACGAGGCTGATACACTGTTCTTATCAGAGCTGACAATCTTATTGTTCCTTATGAAATGAACTCTGTTAGGCTCTGCTTTCCTCTTCTCTTTCAATTCCTCCCAGAGCTTCTTGTAAGCTCTCCTTTCTTCCACTGATCTGTCTGGGCAAATGTAGATACTTTTATAGCCCTCTTTTGTGCGTAGTAGTTTCGCTTTTCGCAGCACCTGAGTAACCATGTCAGAGCTATTTAGAGATAGTTTAGTTGGTCGTATTAATGTGCCCACTCTCTTCAGACCAACTCTACAACAGTCACGAAAAGAAGGTTTCTCGTTTATCTCACCAAGAACTTCAGCAACTTTGTTTTCTAACTTCTCGCCGTCGGATTCACTTATTCCGTAGATTACGACGTTTCTGCTTCTTTCATCCTTTTCAGCTATTGTCTTAACTGCAGTACAGATCTTCTTTGGCGTAAGAGCAGCTGCACAAGTCTTTTTCAGGGCAGAAGAATATGATTTCATTTCTGTCTGCACAGTTGTTTGAACAGACTTGAGTTCTTCGTCCTTCTTTTCAATGAGCTGCTTCTGCAAATCAATGACAGTTTTCTGCTCCGCGATTACTGAAATGTTCTGTTTATCTACTCTCTCCGCAGCCATTTGCAAATGAGGAGCCGCATAACGATTCAAAATGAAACAAACAGTTTGCAGCCAATTACACAGTTTTTCTTTCGAAACTGATCGCTTGTTCAGGTTTTTCAATACTAGATCTCCGTATTCCTTAACATCCAGTTCATGGCACATTTCATTAAAAACACTGTTTGTAGCTCTCGCTACCTGATCTGCATGTCTGGCACTAAACAGATCATCATTATCGGGGTCATCGACCAAATGCTTCGTATGTTCATGGTATGAGTACTGCATCGTGTATATTCCAATGTACAGTTCTTGTATACAGGCTACACAACGATCACACTAAAAGACAAGCACTTCTTATCGCAAGTTACAACAGCTGATAACAGAGCTCGCTATATGCAACCAAATGTAAAACGACTACACACAAGTGTGAATATATATGATGTTAAAAGTGGGAAAAATACTGAAAAATAACAAAACCTTTAAATAACCATAAATACCTATACCTATTTTGAAATCGGAGGAAATAATAGGTATTTATGAGGCTGGCTCCCCCCCCCCCCCCCCCCCCCCCCCCCCCCCCAAGCTTTATAAAATATGGACATTGTGTTACGAATTTGTTTGGTCATGTGACATGATTCTTCAGCAGCCTACAACAGATTACACACACACACACTAACCTTAGCACTAGCTTTGTGACACATAAGGTTAGCGATGATACCCAGGCTGACCTCTCTGACCCTGAAGTTAGACGAGCGGACTAGGGGGGCTAGAATGAGGTCACACAGTCCCTTGTCCAGCATGAAGCTGCCCACGTGTTTGTCACTGCTCATGTCCCACAGTTGACAAAACTCGTTCTCCAGCTCCTCGGATAATCTCTCATCCTGCAGGAATGTAGGGTAGAGGTTCCTTTTTATAGAGTCAGAGGTTAAGTATGTTGTTCTTGAGTAATTATCAGGCAATTGCAGCTGCAAAATTTTGATAGGCTTTCTTTTGTCTCCGAATATAAATTTGGCTCACGATAAAACTAAGAGGATTTAATGAGAAAGGGTGACCTGAGAGAACTTCTATTTTTGTGTCTGAATTTAAAATATGATTATCAGTGTGTATACAAGTAAAAGAATTTTGTGTGCTTTATGATGTGTACAATGTATATTGTACATTGTGTAGTCCATTCTCAATCAGCGTCTTTGACAAGGTTAACAGTACCTTCCTTGTGTTGGTTTTGTATTACAAGATAATATAAGCGAGATACTAATACCACAAATACCTCATTTCATTTCAATGCACAATGAGAAAGAAATAGTTAAATCCGATTGATAATAGCCTTAAACTTCACTCACATCTTTAAGGGTCTGGGAGGAAAGGGCCACGAGAGCTTTGAGGACCCAACATTGGGAGTAGGCTGTGTTGACGATCCTGTCTACATTTTCTGGAACAGTTTCCTGCGGAGGAGGAGAAGGGTTCCTGTACATTTCACATCATTCTCTCCTAGTCTGCGAATTCAATTATCAGTCCATGTAATAATTTACGGGTATACACAGAAGTTTTGACGGAATTAATTTCTTATCTCACGAGATTATAACGTGATAAAGAAACTCAGCGGTGAAACTTGATGTGGGGACCTTATTTTCTGATGCCTCAATACATTTTTTGTCTTCCTATACGATGTTTTCATTCACTCAGAGCGTACAATTCAGCCGATTACGGTTGTCACAAGCTTCCCAGTAAAATTTGTATCGTGTTAATTATATATTCCCATCCTATATCAGATACTTTCGACTTGAATGAAATGCCGTCAAAAATTCATCAGAAGCACTGAATTCATCATAAAACTGCAAATAAAACGAAGAATTGTTTTGATCGTGTATAAAAATATAAACAAGTGCAATAACTTAAATTCTGACTTGTCCATAGCCATAAGATCTGTTTGTATTGGTGGAGCATCGTGTCTAATGGAAATAAATGAAAGCTTAAAATGTGCAGGGTCCTCTGTAAGTCCACTTAAACCAACATATGAGACAAATAATTTAAGGACGATAAGAGATCACGGTGAGGGTCACAAAAATGCACGGCCACAGTGCCATTGCCATATACCAATGTAATCACGAGTCAGCTGTTTAAGCTGGCAAATTCAGAAGCATGCCTTTGTCCTTGGGTAGGTATACAACGTTTCTTGAGCCGGCCAGGTTCGCAGCGATTTCCTCAGCAGCTTCCATTTTTCGCAACTCTATAAGCGAATCTCCGACTTTGTCGAAGGCTTTAGACAACATTTTAGCAGCCTCAGCGTCTCCCTCAGCACTCATTATGGTAGCTGCCTTCTCAAACTCCGCCTGAACATTACGGGTCATTATGAAGCTGACATGAATGCCAATGAACCAGATTGTATACACATGAACCACTGAAGTCAAATGTATACGCAAATCGTGATGTTATGTTTTTCAACTACAGACAAAATGACATGGTAATTAACAAAAACAAACAAAGCCTAACTGCAGACATAAAACAGTAGACCTTCGTCCAAAATATGAACCCGAAAACAAATCGAGTAATATCTTAAACTAAAAAAGAACAGTACCTTCTCGACATAGTATCTAGACCTCTCTGCCTCCTGCTGAGCAACTTGCTTGCTCTCAACTGCTCTCGCAAATTCAGCACCGAAGGAAAGATGAGTGATGGAGATATCATCAAGGAAGATACCGAATGTCTCAGCACGTCTAGTCAAATCGTCAGCTACACTGTTGGATACAGCGTCTCGCTGAGTGATCAACTCTGAAGCATCGTACTTCGCCTGGGATTAATGTGCTGAGAAGAGACTTGATTGCATGCTCTAACAGGTAAACTAAATAAACAGTATTATTCGATAGATAATCGTCTGCAGTGATTCAATTCAGTATCAAAACAGACAAGAGAATGGTATAGTGAGTTAAATGGACGAACCACAACAGATTTCAAGACTTCGTCCACAATGGAGGGCAATATCCTCTCATCGTAGTCCATGCCAATGTTGGTGTATATGCTGGGAAGTAGAGTTGGGTCGGGGTGGAACAAGATACGGAGAGTTAGGTTAACTGTCTGCAGATCTGTGGAGTTATCAGGTTTAACCTAACTGGAATTTTCTTCTCAAAAGATAGACTCAAACTGAATTCTGCAATTTTTTGCGGAACTAAGACTCAAATTATGAACTCAAATTGTGTGGCAACTATTTGATTATTCGACCTAACGTAAAGCTTTTCACCTTTAGATCCGGTGGTCACAGGAACACTCCTCGGCCGGCTTCTGATGTCGAAGATGATAGGATCCTGGATAAGCGGTATACGCATGTGGGTACCTTCACCGTAAACTGAACTTTTTACACCAGCAAACTTATCAAATATAATTGCAGCCTCTCCTGGATCAACTGAAACGGAATTTACTTTAAAGAGGGGTTACTCGAACATTAGTTCTGATTTTGCGTTTAACTGGTAAACACTGGAGAGACTAGAATTAGGATACAAATTAATAAAAAATTAGTATACATACCATTATATAGGCACTGGTTGATTGCACCAATTGCTACAGCAGCGACTCCTGCAACTGTGACTGCCTTGGAATTCATTTCTATTCCTAAAAAGATGAAAAGTTGACGTATCAACCATTATTCAGTAGTTGGAAGGACTACTTCAAGTTCATTTTACAGTACTTTCTGGAAGGTTTAATTTCTACGCGGGAATACACGTGACATTGGACAAAAAGCAGCGTGCGCGGTATGGTAACCAAAGAAATATATTCGCGGCCGCGGTGAAGTCAACAAATATCTGTGACATGTGGCAATGTTTTAATGTTTAGCCGACAAGCGTGTCTCCGTATGTGGTATTGACTTTCCATAGCATATAGGAATACTGAATAGTTGACAAACGATGCTGTCTACAGTATGGATTAGATAGTTCTGGCACAAAATTATTGCATGCAAAACACATCTTCAAACAATAAAACAAAATTGGTGTAAAAATTAATAATTTAATAAACTAAAGGAACTTTAGAAATACACAGTAATACACTTAGCACTGATGGGGACAAACACGTGACGAGAATTAAAGCTGGATTTTATAAAGTAGTCAGATACGTTCGGTCACTAAAGCTATATCTGAACAAGGAATCCATAATTCAACAGTCACAAGAAAAAGGACCCCGGAGGCACTGGAAACATTGCCGTGTGATATTAGTTAGTGGAAAAGAAGGCACAGCTCATGTTTAATTGACAAATCTAATTCTGTGAATATTAAGGCACTACAAACTTGCATTAAAATTCATATAAGGGTTACATTTTGTCTGAAAGAAAGCGTTACTCCTCTCTTTCACAATTTTTTCAACGCTTGCTTCCTGCTTCAGTGATCTTATAACACGCTGGATGGGACGCTTCGTCTCGTTTGAGGCGGAGGCGAGTTTGTTCTGTTGAAACTCCAGACAACTGTTTATCATCTGCTCTCTTTGTTGATGCAGGTCCAGCAGCTCTGTCTTGAACTTCTGACAGTTTGTAGCTGCATCTACCTGAATAGTTAGATATTAGGTACACTATTAGACGGCCTCAACTTTAATGTGGATCTTGCTATGTGTTGGTTCAGCCGAATTAATTATTATATAATCAAGTTTATTTTTCTAGTGTAGTTAGTTTTCATCCGGCCAAACAATAAGCAACTTATAATGTACCTAAAAGTTAATTTGCTTCCTTATCAATATAGGCTATGGACCAAACCTATCATCCAACTAGTCATCAAGACTAGAAGTCAGAAGACAACGTGTCATCAAGACTAGAGGACAACATTTCATCAAAACTAGAAGACAACATTTCATCAAGACTAGAGGACAACATTTCATCAAGACTAGAAGACAGCGTGTCATCAAGATTAGAAGACAGTTATTGTTTGAGGGCAGCATCTTACTGCCCCCTGATACCGTTCTTTCTCCACCTAAGTGTCCAAATCTCACAAAACTTCAAAGTATAGGTGCTCAACGGTATTGATCAGGTTATATGCAGTGTGGATGGTATGCAAATATGGCCTTTAATAGCCATTCTTGTAAAATTAGGTAATCGTACTGTAGTGCGACACGTACTCTAGTGCGACACGTACTCTAGTGCGAAGTCCGACAAAAACACCCTCTGTCGCACTAGGGTACGTGTCGCACTACGATCCAGGTAGCGTACTCTACTGCGACAAAATATCCTGACTTATTTCCAAGTTCAGGTCACATCCTATCCTTCTTATGGACCATTAAGTGATTCGTCGGGTCGGTTCACGTCACTTATTTCGAAGTGATCTTGCGAATACGATTCGTCGGTTCACATTACGTGTTTCGAAGTGATCCACTGATCACAATTCCTTCGGGTCAGTTCAAGCCACGTATGCAGTGTGTGATCCACCGGGTAACTCGTAAGCAGCATATGATCCTCATTCCTATCACACGCATCGTATGAAGGTATATCTCCGATTTGGATAACAAGTTCATATGCTTGGGCCATATATAAGGTCACGATGATTCTACCAAAGCATCGAACAACATCAACATGTCTTCTTCAATCACCTTCATTCTTGGACGCACTACTGGTTCAAGAAACGTAATCCACGACGGATACCGCTACTGCCTGGATAAGAAGCGCGACGGCAGGACCTACTGGCGATGAACTGAGAAGATCTGCTCCGGACGTCTCAGTCTGATGAACGACACTACTGTGACCAGTACGAAGACCCATTCCCACCCTCCTACTCCTGCGCAGCTCTTCACCAAGAGAGGATGCTTCTTCCACCACAAGCAAGCACTTTGGAGGAAGATGCAGCAACATGACCTAATCCCGGAATACAACGCAGAGAACTCAGCAGTACGGAAGTACTTTCAGATGAGACGTACTGGATACCTGGACGCAGCTGAAAGCAACCCTTCCCCCGGAGATGGATTCCTTTGCTGACTAAATTTTTATTGAATGTGTAAAGTGTTTTGTCGCACTTTAGTTCGTGTCGCACTACAGTCCAGGTAGCGCACTGTAGAGCGACAGTGTCGGCCTTGAAAATTCTCTGTCGCACTAGGGTACGTGTCGCACTACGATCCAGGTAGATTGAATCCGAACATGGTAAAGTGAATTAAATTGCATGATGCATATATTTGAGTATACTATACTCAAAATGGGATTAGCAAAGATATTATCCAATAATAAACGATATGTTGACGATTTATCTATTATTAACTACCTTTACTTTCATAAATTGATTAAAGATATTTATCCTAATTCATTGGAGATGGAGCGAGCTGGTTCCAATAATAAAATCATTAACTACCTTGATTTAAATATTAATATTTCCACAGAAGGACTAGAAATATCAGTGTATAACAAAACTGATGATTTTAATTTTCATGTTGTATCCCTTACATTTCCTCACAGTAACATCCCAACCGAGGTTGGCTACAACGTTTTTTCAAGTCAAGTTCTTAGATATGGTAATGTTTGCACTAGATTGGATATCTTTACCTCCCATCTTCACAAAATATTCAAAATTCTAATTGATAGAGGATATAGCCGTGATAGACTGATTAAAGGCATTAAACGTTGTCTGAGGAAATATGATAACGTTTTCAGGAAGTTCGGTATTCTAGATGACCGTAACATTATTAAAGAACTCCCCTGATATCTTTTGATTTATTGAAACACGGGTACTAACTCTGCTAAACTGAACAAATTCTGAAACTTAGGTGAATAAGTGTACAACGTGCTAAACCGAAGTTCAGACTGACCAGTGAAAATGGGCGAGCGTACCAAGTGTCATTTTAATTAGAAGTTTTAGTCAGTGATTTATTATTGAAGCTTGTAATTACAATATCTAATGCTCCTATAAATACTTTAATTAATTGTTTGTCCCGTTATTCTTTTTCCTTCCTCTTTTCCTTGTCATCCCCTTTAGTTTTAAGATTCTTGCTATAAATGGCTACAGCTAACACTATTAATGCTAAGTACCAAACAACAAGTGGGAGGTGGATCGTTGGTACCATTAAATCGATTTAACACCGCAATTCCAGTCGCAAGCCTGGGACCACTACTAGCATAGTCACAACATCTACAAAGCTGCCATATAGCCTGACTGACAATTTCTCGACTGACTGACAATGTTTCTTCTTTTTCCCCATTTAGAATACAAAGATTAGTACATTTTAGCTTATGATTAATATTATATTTTTACCTATAGTTTACTTAGATATGGAATTTCCAGCGCCTTCAAATTCGGAAGATATTTATAAAATGCACCTGATTTTAAGATTCATCCAGTTCTGAGGGTTTTAAAGGTAAAAGCCAAAAACTGTTCTTGGTATACTAGTAGTAACAAATAGATAAACATCAAGTACTACAAAACTCGGTATGCTGATCCAAGTCACCAAACAAAACAAATTGCAGTGTCACTTTTGCATGTTTTTGCTCAGTCGCGTTGGACGATGGAAATTGTATAATGCATAAAATATATGTATATATGTATACATTGTATAGTTATAACAAGGTCCACGTTATAACGAGTTTACTCCTGAATAAGTGAATAGGGTTATTATTGAATCTCATGTCCTAATTTGATGAAAATACTACGAACTGGATTTACTTTAGATGGCCTGGTAATCATTTTAAATTACGTTGAACAAGCTTAATTGCAGCAAACGACCGAGATAAGATCTCTGCTTAATTGGCAGCTATGACTTTGCTCAGTCAAATTGTGAAGCAAAATGTTTGACATTTAAAAGTTAGTTTGGCTTTTAATTCTGTAGTGAAAGTGAAGGAGTAAAGAATTCACCTATAAGTAATAACCTCACTAATATTATAAGTGTCATATTAAAAGCCACGCACGTACCATCATTTCTGCAGATTTGTTTCTTGGAGCAGTTACAAAACGGTGTCCGAACATTCACGGCCACTTTAAATTGAAACTTCACGGCAATTTTTAATTAATTAATTGCCACTACTTTTGGCACTACTATGCCAAGGTTCACAGTAACAATACTTGTTGACTACTTGTACTTTAATACAAAAATCGAGGGGAAATTACACAAATAGAACAAATAACGGCTCATCTTATCACTAAATTTCGCTGGTAGGGACCAGAGCAAATAATCACTGGCCAAATAATCACTCACCTTATCACTAAATGATGCTGTTGGAAGAAGTGCATTAAGGTTGTATATCACCTTGTCGTCTTTGTCCCGAAACGTCGTCAGCAACCTCTTAAATTCATAGAAGTTATCACACGGCAACGCCATGTTCACCTAAAATATGGAATCATTATATTACATTAATTATAATATTTGAGCAGGTAACATCACAATGAAAGTAAAAGGATAATTATGAGGATAGATTAAGAGATATCATGTACTGATGGTTGAAGATATTATAGTAAACTTAAAACACTTGGAAGATGTAATGTTAATGATTTCTAACACATTGTTATACATTTAGAATAATATTTTAATAATTAAGTATGTATGAGATATTTGTTGTCACAGCAAAATAAAAATAAAAATAAAGTTAACGCTGGATAAATTGTTAGAAACTAGATAATATTGCTATATGGCCCTATTCTAGCGGGTAACTCTTTGGTAACCTGAGTACCTATAAGTTATTTTCTAGAATTAAAGAAGAGAGGCTTGCCATTAGGTGGCCTTTACGACTGACCAAACTTGGACCAAACTTTTTCGTGTGTTTTAAGGCCACTTATTGTCACTTTTGTTGCTGGTCAAATATCGTCTATGAACATCATAGAAGGTTGCTAATTAGTCAAGAGTGTTTATCTTTTCAATGAGAAAAACTTTTGTTAGAAAATGTTCACCTCAGATAATCAGTTAATTGGATAAGTCTAATTAGCTAATTACCAGAAAATAAAATGTTTCTAATGACTGCACCAAAGGCCCATTCGAACCAGTAACTTGCTGTATTATGATCTTAAGAAAAGTTGGTCAGCCGTAAAGACCACCTTATGGAACTCAAAAATGCCAAAGAAATCTCTGAAAGCTTATTGTCATTTTGTAGACAGATTTGTCTCTTCCTACTACCTACTATATACTATTACTATATACTCTTCATACCTAGTATATACTCTTCTCTACCTAGATAATACATCTGAAACCAAAATCTTTTAAGGAGTAAGAATCCCCCCATTCTCGTGTAGCCATTTTAAAACGACAGGAGTAAAATAACTTATTATAACATCAGCACCAGCACGCTTCATACTAAACAATGATTCACATACAATGCTTTTGAAATTTCCTGATTTAGTTGCATAGTCGTGTACCATGACATAGTCCCCTGACACTTGATACACAGCCAGCAAATGGTTTGGATGCCTTGATTTTATAGCATTGACAACATCCAAGTAGAACATCCCTGGTTTCACCATAACAATATCAGCCCCTTCCTCTATATCCCTTTCAGTTGTCAACTGCCCAAGTTGGGAGCTTCCTAAAGGTAGCTGATAGGTTTTTCTATCACCAAACTGAGGACCAGATTTGCAAGCATCTCTAAATGGGCCATACATGCTTGAAGAAAATTTGCTGCTGTAGCTCATTATGCATGTTTTGTTATCTCCCATTAACTTTAAGGCTGTTTTAATTGCTCCAATCCGATTGTCCATCATGTCACTTGGAGCCACTACATGGGCACCAGCCTTGGCATAGGTGCAGGCTACCTCGGATATTCGCCGAATAGAAGCAGCATTATTTATTGTTCCATCTGAATTGAGAATGCCACAGTGTCCATGAGATGTGTACTCACATAGGCACACATCACAACATATTAATAACTGAGGAAATTGTTCCTTTAACAGTATAATAGCTTTGACTACAGGCCCAACTTGATCATCAGCTGGAGCTCCAGTTTCATCTTTTGAACAATCTGAATTCAAAACTCCAAAAAGAAGAACAGACTTAAGACCAATTTTGGACAAGGGCAAAATATATTCATATAATTCATTGACACCAATCCTCAACATATCAGGCATGCTGGGGATAGGCTCCTTCGAGTCTTCATCTTCACTAATAAATAGTGGTAAAATGAAGTCATCACTTGTCAACCTGCTATTGCTGTTCTGCCATCTTCTTAATACAGAGTGTGAAATCTTTGACATGTGGTTCATAATGACTGAGTGCTGTCGATATCTGGTGAATAAATTGTTAAATAGATTATTTATTTAACTTATTATTTCTAGAGAAATAAATGAGTAAATATAAATTAAATACAGTGCAGCTGTTGATGTAAGATTGGCCCTACAATCTACAATCTGCATGCAGCTGTAGTATTCGACTTAACAATAATACTTAGATTTCTACGGATTTAACTATCTGAAGTGTCTCTTCTGCTTAATACTGTCATTATAGAGCATTATAGTCGAGCGAATTAAGAATATATTCTAAAAATGAAAACGAGTGGAAAGTGACCACAGGCTTTCTAGTTAATGTATAAAATTGGCATAAAATTGATAACTTAGCTTTACTGAAATGGATTTTATCCCAAGATAATAACAGATTCATTGATTGGGGACATGTTGTTATGCTTTCACCTCCCATAAAAATAGTTCTCAAATCAATAATTTAACCAAATAACCAAAGGAATGCATAAATTCGGTGTCCAAAAAAACCCCACTTTTTTTAAGTCAATTTGTTTTATTATTGTGACATGATAATAATTTACTATTACATCAGAGAAAGCATTATTTCAAGCTTGTATTACAATGGCCAAAATGACTCCATAGATAATTATGGTGGGGCTATTTTGGACATGACCCATTTTCTTGCTAAATATTACTTTCTAAATATCAAATTTTATTAATAAAGACTATAACCTACATCTAGATGCTTAAGTAAGCAATACACGACTCTTAGAAGTTTAGCGGAAAATGTCCAAATTGACCCTATGAAACTAGGTAACTGGTAAAGCACTAGTATAAAGAATGAACAACATACAATGATGGAACTGTATAACATGGAATAACCTAACTTAGGGGGATGATAGTTGGCAATAAATTATGGAATGAGTTGCCTCTTGAAATTAAGAATTGCATGTCACTGAACTCTTTTAAAGTGTATCTGAAAACGTTTCCTTTTAAACTTACTTACAAGTGTACTTGAAAAGGTCTCCTCCTAGTCGTTGGAGTGGCCTGCACCACATAGTAACTCCTTTCTCCAGTGTATTCGACCTCTCCAGTGAACCCTGTCTGTAGCTTGTTGTTCTGCACCTTCTATCGTGATGTTATCGACACCTGTGAAGATTGCTGCATCCTCCCGGACACATGACAACCAGTTTTTCCGAGGTCTACCTCTTGACCTTTTACCATGCTTTGGGATCCAGTGCAGAAGATAGTTGGGTATTCTTTCTTCTGGCATCCTCACCACTTGGCCAAACCATCGGAGTCTAGCTGCTTGTACGAAAGTATCAACAGGGGCGATGTTAGCCCGCTTAAGTACATCAGCATAATTAGATACATGATAAAACCATTTGATTTTCAGGATTCTCCTCAGACATCTATGATGGAACACCTCAAATCTTTTCATCTGCGTCTGTGTGGTATTCCATACCTCACTTCCATAAAGCAGTATAGTGAGAACAGCCGCTTTGTAAATCCTGATTTTAGTTGGAGTCTTGATGTTGCGACTGTACCATATACTGCTAAGCTGATAGAATGCCCCAGAGGCCTTTTGAATTCGAGCTGATAGTTCTTTGTCAATTGTTCCATTCCCACTGATGATTGCACCCAAGTAAGTGAAATTGCTGACCTGCTGTATTGGGAGACCTTCCACATTGATGTCCATAGTGTCGTTTTTAGAATACGGCCTCTGCGATGCACTTTTGCTGACAACCATGTTCTGTGTTTTGCCAGCATTAATCTTCAGACCCGCATAGGCACTGTATTTGCAGAGAAGGTCAGTGGTTTCCTGCAGCCCCTCTTTTGAGTTATCTAACATGGCCATGTCATCAGCGTAATCAGTGTCCAAGAGATGTTTCTCTTCTACCCCGGGGGCTGGCAGCTGTAATAAAGCCCCCTTGCTAATGACCTTGTTCAGTTCCATAAGGTATGCCGAAAAATTCAAACAAAAGTTGAAGACTGGTGGTCCCTGTATATCACCTTGCCCAGTACCCGAGTTGACATCAAACCAACCTGTAACCTCTCCATTGACCCTAACAGCACTAACTGTGTGAGTGAAGAACGCCTTCATAATTCTAATGTACTTGTCTGGTAAGCCATAGTGCTGCATACTTCTCCAAATGAACTGCCAGTCAATCGAATTAAAGTTGCCATAGTAAAGCCTTTAGGTCCAAAAATATACCCATTATGATCACTTAAAAACAACTCTAAATCAGTAGGCTGTCACTCTATTAATGCACCACACCGCTTCCTCCACTGCACTAAAAGTTATACAATAAATTCTACAATCCTAATTTTGTATCGTGATGGAGACCGGTGTCCATACAAAAAACTTTCTAGGTTGCCGTTTGGTGTGAGCAATAGCGAACAGCACGCACACTCCTTTGCCCCGTCAACCTATATCTAATCTTACTATATATAAAGCGAGACGATATATATGGTTCCGTGCCATTTTACTGACACCACGGCATCAACTTTAACGGGACTTTCCTCAAAAACCGTAAAAGATATACAACTGAAACTTTTTTGACTGGGTCAAATGCTTTAATGGCCTTCAAATCAGTGTGAAAAAATAAAAAAATTGGCCAAGGAATAAGAATTTTAGTGCCCAAAATTTGGACCCCCAAGTGGTGTCAAAAACGCGAATTAAATAGGTACAATAATTATTTTAGTCTCTTGAGTCTTGACACCACTTTATAGTAAGACGGGTTCCTGCTAGTCTATTTAAAGAGTGACAACCATACTACACATTGAATTAGGATTCCTTTAAATATCAAATTGATTTATTGTAAACTTGTTTACTCTGTAATAAATGGCATAAAATTGAATTTTTGTTTAACTGAATTTTTAATGACCTGCAAGTCTGAGCCTTTGTTGGGTGATCTTGGAGCTGACTTTGAGAAGTTAACTGTACAGGCTGTGGTTGCTGACATGGTCTCGATATTGATTGATGTTAAGGGCCATTCATAACATTTGCAAATAACAACCATCAACCATCCTCTCTAGCCTTTTCGTCAAAGTCTCGGAACTGTACAAAAACACACTCGACAAGTGCTGTAAACACTCTGATCTTGATAGACTTCCTAAGCTTATACTTTTTTCTGCGTGTGTGGCATGCAATGCTCCCTATGCTCTTGATTTCCCAACCCTGATATCACTCTCACTGTCTCTGATTCTAGAACCCAGATAGGTGAAGTCTTCCACATGCTCTATTGTACTGTTTCCCAGGGACTTGATGGAATCAGGGTTCACGATGTTCTGAGCAATGAATTTGGTCGGGACTGGTAATAAATATCATTAAACTGCTGTTGAACTAATTGAAGGTAAGGTGCAATATCGTTGCACAGTGTTTGTGATGGTGACCTAAAACATTATACAATTGAAAAGTGCGTGTGTGAGCTGTACTCACTGTACTGATTGTCCATTATCAAATGCTGTTTAAAGCGAGTTTTTATGGTAGTATGGTTGTTACCAGATGATGATGTTAAAAATTTAAATGTATACTTTTCTATTTATTGGTAGTTGTTCGAATGATTATTGTTATTTGTTAGAACTTGCAGTTGTAGCCGACTTTGTTTTGCTGCCAGAAGTAGTAATGATTTGAAATGGCTGTTGTATGGTGTCACAACTAGTAACTACAAAGAGTGACCTATTTTTGTAGGAATTGTTTCCGTACGTTAAAAAAAATGTATTAATGAACAAACCTTTACATTAATGAAATTCCCGGATATAGCATGTGTTTATATGAACTACATGCCGAACGCCGATATGTGTGGAGTGTGGTTACTCACTGTATATAATGCAGAGTTGGGAAGTGACTGAAAACATTGAAGTAAGTATAAAGTATTGAGGTTTATTTTGAATCATGTAAATAGCTTTAATATTGTGGCATCTGTGGAGTTATGTTAGGTATTATGCCATGTGGTGAAATTTGTAGAAGGAAGTGGTTTGCAGATTTATTTGTAAATTAACATCAAATTTCCCAAATCAGGTTTCGTTACCATTGGAAGATGTCATGTATATACTATGAAAAATGTGGAGTCAATTGTACACTGACGAAAGCTGCAAAACAACTGAGCCAGCTCCACAAGCACGACCTGACTGAAGAATTAAATCTTATTTGTCTGTGAATATTTCGCTACGTAGCTTGTCAGCCTTCAAGTTGATTTTGGTGCCAATCAGAATAACTGTACAGGCCCCAGCGACCCAGCAACTGGCAACACTCAACTCAGAGGTAGTAACAGCACTGGCACTTTTTCTCACTATCCCGGTTACAGTAGCCAGTGCTGAAAGATCCTTTAGCAAACTGAAGCTATTTAAAAACTCCGAAGCACAATGGGTAACTAAACGATACGATAGATTAAGCAGTTTACAGTTTAGCCATCATCTCAATCAAGAACTTAACAGCAAGACAACTTGACAAGAAAGAGCTGGCCAAATTTGATGCTCTTTCCAAACCTAAGAGAGTTGCTTGGAATATGAACTGTACGGTAATGTAAATATAATGTAGTATTGAAAAATGTAAATTGTTTTTATTTCCATACTTTTATCTGTTATTGCTACCTGTTAGATGTTGGTGTTTTATTTGTGAAGTATCATTAATACTACTATAAGTGACTGCCGATTAAATTGGGATCTAAGTTAAAAGTAAACATTGATGTCTAAAATTGCCACAAAATCAAAACATCCTCACGCGCGGCGCGAATTTTGTATACCACGTTTGTATAACAATTGCAATATCGTTATCACTTACCATGTGTTTTTAGCGCGCGCTGGCTGCTTGCTTTGCAGTATATTTAATTTTAGAATTTTACAAATCTTAGAACAGTAGCACGATATTTAACAACTTTTGGACCTTATTATACCAAGTATTTTATTACCAGGGGCGCCATATTTCTAGGGGGCGCCAAATTATGAGGAGGGGCGGCAGAATTTTGGCGCCCCCCTCTCACGGCGCCCCCCAGCATAGCGGGGTCTGCGGGGCCTTACGTTACGCCATTACATACCCTTTACCTTGTACCTTACTCGGGAATATTATTGCGGGTTAATTTATGACTGGGAAAATTAATGACCGGGAAAAATATGGCGGAATTTTCCAAAACCCACCAAGCATCAAAATGTATTACTATTAGTTTACCTTACTCATTAAGAAAACAACAAATTTCAAGAAAACAACAAATTTTTA